AGGAGAAAAAAAAAATAAAAGAAGGCTTGGAATGGAGAAGAGAAAGCACAGATGACAATAATAATGGTGACAATAATAAGTACATTGCATCCAGAAAGTATTCAAAGCGCTTAACGTTTGCCACTTTATGTTACAGCCTTATTTCAAAATGGATTCAATTTTTTTTTTCCCTCAACATTCTACAAAGAATACCCCATAATGATGTGAAAGAAGTTCGTTTTGAAATCATTGTAATTTATTAAACGTAAAAAACGGAAAAAAAAAAAAACATACATAAGTATACACAGCCTTTGGCATTACACTCAAAATTGAGCTCTGATGCATCCTGTTCCCACTGTTCATCCTTAAGATGTTTCAGCAACTTGACTGGAGTCCACCTATGGGAAACTCAGTTGATTGGCCATAATTAGGAAATGCATAAACCTGTCTATACAGTATAAGGTCCCACAGTTAAAAGTGCATGTCAGAGCACAGACCAAGCCGTGAAGTCCAAGGAATTGTCTATAGACCTCCAAGACAGGATTGTATCAAGGCACATCTGGGGAAGGGTACAGAAAAATTTCTGCAGCATTGAAGGTCCCAATGAGCACATTGGCCTCCATCATCCATTAATGGAAGAAGTTTGGAACCACCAGGAATCTTCCTAGAGCTGGCCGCCCAGCCAACATGAGTGATTGAAGGAGAAGGGCCTTAGCCAGGGAGGTAACCAAGCACCTGATAGTCACTCTGAAAGAGCTCCAGCATTTCTCTGTGGAGAGCGGAGAACCTTCCAGAAGAAGAACCATCTCTGCAGCACTCCGCCAGTCAGGCATGTATGGTAGAGTGGCCAGAGAGAAACCACTCCTCAGTAAAAGGCAAATGGCAGCCCACCTGGAGTTTGCCAAAGGGCACCTGAGGGACTCTCAGACCATGAGAAACAAAACTCTCTGGTCTGATGAAACAAAGATTGAACTCTTTGGTTTGAATGCCAAGCGTCATGTCTGGAGGAAGCCAGGCACCGCTCACCACCTGGCCAATACCATCCGTACAGTGAAGCATGGTGGTGGCAGCACCATGCTGTGGGGATGTTTTTCAGTGGCAGGAACTGGGAGACTAGTCAGGATCGAAGGAAAGATAAATGCAGCAATGTACAGAGACATCCTTGATGAAAACCTGTTCCAGAGCACTCTGGACCTTAGACTGGGATGACAGTTCATCTTTCAACAGGACAAAGACCCTAAGCACACAGCCCACATAACAAAGGAGTGGCTATGGGCCAACTCTGTGAATGTCCTGGAGTTTTCAAGCCAGAGCCCAGACTTGAACCCGATTGAACATCTCTGGTGAGATCTGAAAATGGCTGTGCACCGACACTCCCCATCCAACCTGATGGAGCTTGAGAGGTACTGCAAAGAAGGAGAGAAATTGCCCAAAAAATAGGTGTGCCAAGCTTGTAGCATCATACTCAAAACGACTTGAGGCTGTAATTGGTGCTAAAGGTGCTTCAACAAAGTATTGAGCAAAGGCTGTGAATACTTATGTACATGTGTTTTTTTTTTTTTTTTTATTTGTAATAATTTGAAAAGATTTCAAAACTAACTTGTTTCATGTTGTCATTATGGGGTACTGTTTGTAGAATGCTGAGGAAATTTGTTTTTTTTTTTTAATTAAATATTTTATTGTTTTCAAATCACCATATTAAATGTACAAAAGCTAATAAAACAGACAGTATACATTACACATTTCTGTCATAACACTCCCCAGAAATAACCTTTATCTCGGTGACCTTTTACCCCTACCCTTACCTATTCCCCCCCACCCTTTGATTATGCATTTTTAACTTCATTCTAGAAATCCTGATCCTTAGCTATTACTGGTATTATACTGTACCATATATATCCCTATTCCCTTCTTTTTTCCGTATTTCACATATTCTAGGTATACCTCTGAATTTTTAAACTGTACCCACTTTTCCCAACTTGTACGAAATACCTCCATTTTATCTTCCTCCATATGGTAAAGTTAATTTAATCCATTTTGGAATAAGGCTGTAACATAACAAAATGTGGCAAAAGTTAAGCGCTGTGAATACTTTCTGGATGCATTGTATGCATTTATAAATGACAAAATAGACCCAGGGTACAGTGATATGCCTAAATGCAAAGCAAAAGTTTTGAACTCGAACCAGAAGGCTCATGTATTAGCATGTCTCTTGGGGGTTTGATGAGAAATGTGCGTGTATTTCTCTGTAAGGCAAATGATGTCAACCTTACGGAGCCACTGGAGGAATTGTGGTTTGCCCTAAAATTTGAGGATTAAAGTTTTGGCTGTGTTTAAAAGGCGTACGGTAATTGACTGTTTATATTGGCCTACTGGTTCAAACCTAAGGTATACTTGAATGGGAAAAATCACCTGAAAATCTCCCACATGCCTGATTGCTGACTGTTTAATATCCTACTCCCCCAGAGAAAAGAGAAGATTAATTGCTAACCTCTTCTGATTTGAAACTGAATTTGAAACTTAAATTGCTTAATCAAGGAGATAATTAGCTCATAACAGGAGATTAGAGCTTCATTTGCTTGCTGGATAGAAGTCAATATAAAGTGCAATATTTCATATTTACCTGACTACAGGAAAAGAGATTTTTATAGCACTATATTAAACTCTTACCATACTAAAGAAATATGTAGAAAACTACACTCATTTTAGTATAGCCCAGTTTCTATTATAATCCAGCACTAACCAATCCCTTGAAATAGGCAGTCAAAATAACTCCTAAGGCACAATTTTATCAGATCAGTGAAAATATTTATATGTTGGCATTTAAAGCAGAACTGTAGGAATTATATTACCTACTAAATAATAGTTACCTAAATTTGCATCATTTAAACATACATTTAACTGTAAGCTCGAAAGAGAGCAGGGCCCTCGAACCCCTCGTGTATCACATTGTATTGTTACTGTACTGTCGCATGTTCTGTCCCCCTTTGTAATGTACAGCGCTGAGTGAACTGTTGGCGCTTTATAAATACTGTATAATAATAAGGATTTGTGATTGATATGTGACTGAATTAAAGTGGTTTCTTTGTTCCGAGTTTAGCTGTAAAATTGTCATGGACCTTCCTTATGTATAGTTTAATGTAATTGTAAGCAACCATAGGTAGTCCTTAATGGAAGATGGAATGTAGTATAGCCTGACAATAACCTGATAGTTTAACTATAATTTCTTTCTTATGTGTACAGTGTCTACTTTAAAAGACCAATTGGAGGATCTCAAGAAAGTTAGTCAGAATTCTCAAATAACAAATGAAAAAATAATACAATTGCAAAAGCAGGTATGTATTCGCTTTTTTTCCAGTACGTTTATGCTTTTTTTTTTTTTTTTTTTTTTTTTTAACAAATCAGTTGTTTAAGAAGTGCTTATCCATTTAAGAAAATCTACTATTATGTATAATCCTATATTTCTGTGTATTGTGATACTAGCTTTCAAACATGTTGGTCTTTAACTAGTTCAGCTCTTTATACAACCCCTGGCAAAAAGTATGGATTTACTTCTCTTGGAAAATGTTCATTCAATTGTTTAATTGTGTAGAAAAAAATTATTATTATTATTATTACAGACATGCCCCAAAACTATTTTTATGTTAACATTCCAACCTTCTTGCTTTAAGAAACACTTAAAAATAAATAAAGAAAACTAGTCGGTTGCAATTGTTTTTGCAGAACAAGCAGAGGAAAAAAATATGGAATCACTCCATTCTGAGAAAAATATTATGGAATCTTGAAAAAAAAACCCAAAACACTACAATACACCATAGTACTTTGTTGCACCACTTCTGGCTTTTATAACAACTTGAGTTCTCTGAGGCATGGATTTAACTATTGACTAGCAGTCTTCTTCATCAATTGGTCTCCAACTTTCTCTTATTTTAGATGCCAGATCAGCTTTTCAGGTTGGAACCTTGTCATGGACCATGTTCTTTAATATCCACCATACATTTTCAGTTGGTTTGAGGTTAATGGCTGTCATCTCCCCCATACCTTTACCTGACATGAAACCCCATATCAATGATTGTGGAAATTGGCATGTTCTCTTCAGGCAGTCATCTTTATGCATTTCATTGGAACGGCACCAAACAATAATTCCAGCACAGCACACTGGCTAAATGGTCAGCACTTCCGCCTGGCAGTACTAGGGTCGTTGGTTCGAATCCCAGCCATGGCACCACCTGCCTGGAGTTTGCATGTTCTCCCTGTGACTGCTTGGGTTTCCTCCGGGTACTCCGGTTTCCTCCCACACTCCAAAGACATGCTGGTAGGTTAATTGGCTCCTGTCTAAATTGACCCTAGTATGTATATATATGAATGTAAGTTAGAGACTTTAGATTGTACACCCCTTGAGGGTTAGGGACTGTGAATGTACAATATATATGTGAAGCGCTGCGTAAATTGACTGCGCTATACAAGTACCTGAAATAAATAATAAATCATCACCCTGCCCAATGTAGATTTGTGATTCATCACTGAATGTCACTTTCATCCAGTCATCCACAGTCCATGGTTGCTTTTCTTTTGCCCATTGTAACCTTGTTTTTGTCTGTTTAGGTGTTAATGATGGTTTTTGTTTGGTTTTTCTGTATGTAAATCCCATTTCTTACAATATCTTCCAGTTCGGTTACAGGCATTGACTCCTGTTTCTGCCCATTTATTTTGTTGTGCATTTTCTTTTTTCAAGGAATATTGTTTTAAGTTTTTTATCTTAACACTTCGATGCCTTCCTTGGTCTACCAGTGCGCTTCCCTTTTACAATTTTCCCATTTGATTTGTACTTGGTACAGATTTTAGATGCAGCTGACTGGGAACAACCAACATCTTTTGCAACATTCCATGATGATTTACCTTCTTGAAAAAGTATTCTAATCCTCTCCTTTTTTCAACTGACCTGTCTCGTGTTGGAGCCATGATTCCTGTCAATCAGCTTGGTGCAATAGCTCACCAAGGTGTGCAAGCCCTTTTTTATCAGATGAAATCTGATGCAGATGTTTGTTTTAGAACTACAAAGTACATGGTAATTCCATAATATTTTCCTCAGAATTGAGTGATTCCATAATTTTTTTTTCCTCTGCTTGATCTGCAGTTGCAGTTGACTACAGTTTTCTTTCTTTTTTATTTTTAGAAGTGTTTCTTAAGGCCAGAAGGTTTGAATGTTAAATGAAAATAGTTTTTGAGGCATGTCTGATTGTTTTTGTTTCTACACAATTAAACAATTGAATGAACATTTTCCAAGAGTGGTGATTTCATACTTTTTGTCAGGGGTTGTACATACTATGCGTGTCAAGAGAGTGAACCATTAAGCATAAACTGACTGCTGCAGTAGTAGCCATCAGCTTGTGCTGATGCCGTCTCCCAGCTTGTACATGAGAGTGATTCGGTGGCTCCTGCTCTCTCTTGCTTGAGATCACATCTAGCGGCTTCCAGATGTGGAGTGGGAGGAGGCCGAGGCACATCCATGCTTCGACCTCCTCTGTCTGAGATAGTCCTCAACCACCTGGACCATGCATAACATATGCATGTTAGGCACACAGTAATCTTGAAGTTTCTTCTGATTTTTCTTTAATTTTTTGATGTTAGGCAAAATTATCCCCCAGTTTCTTGATTATTCCCCCACCTCTCATTAGGGATACAGCTCTGACATTGGGAAGCAAATCTATTGCTACCATGATGATTACCTTCATACAGTAACACTGTACATCACAAAGCATTGTAAAACAGTAATGTGGAAAAGACCAGCTGCAGGGAGCCCACAAGCAATACTGCTGGTCTAGTCCTTCGTTTTCTCTTTGCCTTTTTTGGGATCCAGCTTCTGTGGTACTGGTCCTCTGAGTAAAATTGTAAAAACGTCTGTCAGATAAAGACATAAGGGCCCCTTCACGTCAGGGTGCTGCAACACACTGTGTTTAATGGAACCTTGTTCTCCCAGGGCATTCTTTTAAATGGCCTGCTTAACACAACGCCGTGGGCCAAAATTTGCTCCTGCAGTATTTTGCTAGTGCACCATGATGCAAGTAGTGCTTTACAGCATGTTGTGGTGCACTGAAACTCAAGTGCGTTGGATGCCTTTCACAACTGATAATGCCACATTGCACCAGCCCATGTAACTGCATTGCCACAGGGTCGAGGTGTAAATGGGGCCTAACGTAACTAAAAATCTGTACTCGCTAAGCCAGTTCACACCAAGAAAAAAAAAAACTCACTCCGAATCCATTTTTGCATACAGTTCACACCACACTACGCTTCATTTCTGATGCATTTTGTTGTGTTTCAGTACAGTTCTGTGCAGAAAAAAATGCAGCATGATCTTTTTTTTTTTTTTTTTTTCTGCACCGGGATGCATTTGAACTGACTAAACTGGTGTAAACTAGAACCATTAGAGTAAATGGAAAACCCTGTGCATGCATTTTTAATGCAATAAAAAGCACTGGGCTTCATCTGGTGTGAACCAGCCCTAATATGTCTGTATTTCACTTATATTTCTTCAGCATTTTGAGCACATTATTTGTTTAGTAAGGCCTTGTGGTGTAATATTATGGTTTTGGATAGCTTGATTTTTTTTATTTTTCGTTTTCTAGTTGGATGAAGCCAATGACTTTTTAAGAGCGGAGTCGGACACAGCAGCAAGGCTGAGAAAAGGTCAAAATGAGATGACTAAGACTATTGCACAATTAGAAGCACTAAACCGGGAACTGCAGGATAGATGTCGACTATTAGAAAGTGCCAAACTACAAGTGGAAAAAGATTTCTTTCAGTTACAGGCGGCCTTAGACTCTGAGCGGAGGGACAGAAATCAGGGATCAGAAATGATTGGGGACCTGCAAGGTAAAAAAAAAAAAAATGTACTCTAATAATTTTTTTAATCAGATAACCGTAGTATCTGGTAGTGTCTTACGTTAGTAAGTATTGTTGCTTTAAAGAGCTCTTTCTCATCCATAGAGGGATACGGGTATTCTAATACTTTTGGGTAAGGAAAAGAAAAAGAAAAATGTTGTTGCTTTGCAGCCTGAAATGAAGACAAACAGTTTTTGTTTTATCCAGCTGTATTTACTCAGTGCAACGTATAACATCCAAGTGGAAGATATGCCACCAACAGGTCAGAAAAAAAATTCAAAAACCAAATCACTGAGTTGGAAAAAGGATCATCACCTTGTGTCAGTATTTTGTTGAACCACCTTTTGCTTTAATTCCCAGCTTTAATCTGTTGGGTTATATGTCTACTAACTTTGCACATCTAGACTTTGCAATATTTTCCCACTCTTTGCAGAACTGCTCAATTTCAGTGGAATCTCATGGTGAGCATTTGTGGACTGCAGTCTTCAAGTCATTCCACAGATTTTCAATGGGGTTTAAGTCTGGGCTCTGACTAGGCCATGCAAGGATATTAACCTTTTTTTTTCCCTTCAACCACTGTGGGGTAATTTTTTTCTGTGTGCTTTGGGTCATTGTAATATTGGAAGACAAACCTTCTTCCCACTGACAACTTTCTGGCAGAGGGCAGCAGATTTTCCTATTTTTCTCCATCCATTTTTCCTTCGATCCTGATAAGTGCTGCAATCCCTGCTGCAGAGAAATACCCCCATAACAGGATATAACCACCTCCATGCTTTACTGTAGGAATGGTATTATTTGAATAGTGAGCTGTATTGGATTTCCGCCAGACATATGTTTTAGTGTTGAGGCCAAATAATTCAATTTTAGTGCCGTAACACCTTTCCATGTGGCCTCAGAATCTTCAAGGTGCATTTTGGCAAAGCTCAGTTGTGACTGCATGTGGCCTTTCTGGAGGAGTGGCGTTTTTATTCCAACCCTCCCATATAAGCCAAATTTGTAGATAATTTGTGATATTAATGTCATATACACAGAGTGACCCTTCTTAGTCATAAATTCCTGCAACTTGTGACCTTTTTCCTCCTAGCTCTTTCATCGAGTTTAGAGCGATGTCCTGATCCAGGGAGGCTGTGTTGTGCCAAATACCTTCCACTTCCTAATTATAAACTTCACTGTGCTTCTAGGCATTGGTAAAGCCTTTGAAGCTATTTTTGTATCCATCTCCTGACTTGTACATGTCCACAGATTTATACTTGAAATCTTTTAGGAGTGCTTTGCTACCCATAGTTGGTTGTTTGCTTCAATTGCACTACCAAGGACTGAAATGCTTCAGGAAAGCTCTTTCATGCTGAGCTAATCAAAATGACCACAGCTGACCACAGTTAAAAGTCAAATGGCGTTGTGTGCCATTGAGAAAGTGATTAGCTACACATGATTGAGTTCATAAGTCATTTTAAGGAGGGGGGGGGGGGTGATCCTTTTTGCAACTGTTATGCTATTCAAGAATTATTTAAATTTTTTTCTGAAATCTTGGAGTTATATCTTTCACTTGGATGTTATAAGTTGCACTGAGTAAATACAGCTGCATAAAACCAAAACTGTGTCTGTCTTCATTGCAGGCTGCAAAGCAACAAAATGTATATATTTTAAAGGGGGAGTGATTCTTTTCTATACCCACTGTATAACAGAATGAGCTCAAAAGATGCCTTCGTGTTTAAAAAAAAAAGTTAAAAAATGCACACAAAAAACAGGAGATAGATACTTCATTGTACTCCAGGTCAAGTGCTGACAAGTTGGTTGACAACTAAGATGATATTGCACACCACTACTGGATCTAAAGCAGGGATGAAAAGAGGCAAGGCAATGCACTGGTATAGTATCAGATGTAACAACTTTATTAGGAAATGATATCCACTTATATTCACACTGTGGACGTGAATGATGTCTTTCCTTGCTTCTGTCGCCGGTTTCAAGCGTTAGAACATCAGAATCTGAATGAATAGGGGCCTACTGGCAAATGGGTCTCCCATATTAAACTGTCTGCAGTATGCATGGAGTCTTCTGCATACTACACTGCTAATCTTAACGCCAAAAAAAAACCATATTTTTTGTAACAGCAGAGATCTAGTAGAATTTGTGTTTTACAGCTATCATATTGTATCCCTCATGTGGGGCACCCACCTGTGTATACGGTCTGGAGGTTGCTGTCTGTGTAAGAACTGTCTTAGCTGCAGACAGCACTTGGAGCAAAGGGCTGCCTTCAATCTAAAAGTATTGTTCATTCAGCTTCTGATGTTCTATCCTTGCTGCTGGTTCCAGAAACGGGAGGTTTTACATCATCCAACTGAGCTTTTCCAGGGCACCACTTCCACAGTGTGGAGTTGATATAATGTTTCCTAATAGGGTTCTTACATCTGACACTAATACACCTGTGCTTTGTGCACTGGCTTTTAAGATTCATGTGACATTACTTCTGAGCTGCTTTCTATACAGCTATCGGGATTGACCTTTCCGAAGTTGATTTTGAGTGCTATACCCATTGGACTGAAGGTGTGGGGCTAGCCTGGAAAATTACTTTGTGCTCTGGGCTCTGCATTGTGGCACTTTCCAGACTGGAGTCTGTTAGCTGCAAGCCCTCTTTGGGTACAGAGCCATGGCACAGCCCCGTGTGTGTGATTCTGTCTCTGAAAACTCATTTTGTGAGTAGGGTGTGCAGGCTAAGCACCATGGGAGCTTAGTTTCTCAGGTTTGAAGGAACAGTTCCACTGTGGAAGTGGGTTAGTGTTAAGGGATTGAGAGTTGACATCATCTGCTAAGTGTCATTTGGGCTCTGTTCTTACCTGTCTGCTGCTACTCCTGACTGCAAGTGACACATGGAGCTCTCCTCTGTTCATCTCTGCTTCCATTTACAATAGCTTGGGCATCATTAAATACCTGACCCTCTCCTGCAGCCAGGTCCATGACACATAGGGAACAGTCCTGCTGTCCAGGGTTCCTCCAGCTCACCCTCCTGCTAATGGTTCCTGGTGCTGTCTGCTTTGCGCCCCTGCTGTGCCTGACTGTGACATTCTAGAATTTTGCCCTCTGCTTGAGTCTATACCTTCATCAGAGTTTTATTCAGTTGAGTGTTTCTCCCTCCTTGGCTCTATTTTGCAAGCATTTTATTGCGGTTGTGCAGGAGTTTAGGGTCCAAACAGCACGCTTGATTGCTGACTCTGACGCAGAGGTCAGAAGCATGCTTTCACTTTCCGAAGTGGTGGATATACTTTTAGCCTCTGTGGACATCAGGGCAACCAGTACTTCATATGCTTAGGTGTTCAGGTTGTTTCCAGGGGCCACAAGCTAGAATTTTTCTTTGTTCCCCTCTCTGGCTCATTACCTCATTACCACTGCACAGATTGGAAGATCTTCATGCAGCCCTAGCTGGTTTCTGGAGCAACTCATCATTGCCCTTGTTCGTGTGTAATAACGGTTCCAGGGGCTCTACTCCGAGCTCTTCACAGTTTCCAAGCCAAAAAAGGGCCTTTGACCCATCTTGCATCTCATGGCCTTAATTTCCTCATTTATGTCTAACAATTTCTTATGGTATCCATGAGGTCTGTCATAGCATCCTGTCATTAGGGAGACTTGCTGGCCTCTCCGCGCGCACAAAAACACATACCTGCGCATTTCTCATTCCTTTGCTTTTTTTCTTGGTCCCCTGTACTACCAGCTTGTAGCCTGCTATTGAACCTATCTTATGCACCTCAGGTATTCACTTGTTGGCTCCCGAGCTAGCCTTACTGCAGTCTCAGGACATCCCCATTTCTGGATATCTGTACAACGTCAACAAACAGTGCAGATTCTGGTGGATAACATAGGCTGGATTGTCTAGACCTTGCAAAGTTTTGACTGGGTATTGAACCTTCAGAAGCCAGTGCTCGGAACCGACTGGGTCTTATTCTAGGCACAGCTTAAGCTGTATTTTTTTTCCTTCCCAGGAGAAACTTTATACTGTCTGCTCTCAGATTTGGGGTCTGCAGTTCGGGAGTTGCCCGAATATTTACTTATGCATTAGAGTTCTGAGGTGGTCTGTAATCTCCATCGAGGCAGTTTAATTCACCTAGTTCCACTCAAGACACCTACAACACAACACTCTGTTACCCTGGAACAAGTCAGTCCAGTCCTCGGACAGACAGATTAATTTGAAGTATGTGAAGTCCTTTCTTCCTATCTATTGAGATACACGCAACGGATGCCATCCAGTTGAGTTAGGGAGGAATCCTGACTACCTTATCACAGGGGACAAGGTTCCAGCCTTGTCCAACTTTTTCAGGTGTGGAAAATCGTCAGGCATTCTCAGATGACAGCGCCTGGACCAGAGGGAATAGTCCCTACAACTGTGGGTGTTCCAGGACCTTTCACAGGTGCGCAGTGCTGGATGTGTACTTCCAGGTTCAATAACAAACTGAAACGGTTTGTCTTCAGGTACTGAGATTGTCTAATGGAAGAAATTGTTGCTCTGTGGGACCAGTAATGTCTCTAAGCCTTTCCTGCTCTGAAACTCCTTCCTTGGCTGCTTCACAGGATTGAGATATAGGGTATTTGGGTGTTCCTCATAGCTCATTAGACTAAGAACTTACATTTTTCCTAAAGTGGTTTTGGCATTTCACCTCAACCAGAACCTTGTTTCTATGTGTTTACCTTGCAGCTACTGCATCCATTAGAAAGTCTGACTGTGTTTGTTATTCCTGATGGTACCTGAAACTGATTCTTATCCACCATTTGCCAGTGCCTCAGACAGTCCATAATCCAAGTTTATAGTCTCTAGCATTGGGTTCTATCTTTCTCTGTCAAGGCACACTCTGATAGATCTGTGAGCACTTCTTGTTTTTTTGTTTGTTTCAAGCAACTATTTTCCAGGTTTGCAAGGCTGTCATCTGGTCTTCTATTCACATGTTCTCCAAGTTTTACCTCAAGGATGTGTAGGTCCCATCCAATGCCAGTTTCAGGCATAAAGTTGTTCTTAGCTACAGACAGTCCCCCACAAATGTTGTTTTGTGGACCTGTTAGTGTCTTGTTGCTGTTGCCCATCCTTCCCTTGGACCGCTTCTGGACATCCTAACCATATCAGAATTCCTGTGTCCCTCATTCGGCACAGACAAATGGGATATCTTAACCATACAATACGGATTACAGTACAGGAAAACCCTGGGTTGTAGGCTATACCTTCAGATGATTGGACACTGGTAGTCTTTTGAGGACACCCACCCACTGTTATCTGCCATCTTGATTAACGGTCTTTGGACTGACCAGCGACGTGCGCCACCTATCAGTAATAGGACACACTTGCCACTTACTATTGCACGTAGTACATCACGCTAACATCTCGTTTTATACCTGTAAAATTAAAAGTCCCAGTTTGACTTGAATGCCCTTCGTAGTTCATTATTTCCTTCAGAAAATTGGCAGGCATTCTCACATGACAGCGCCTGGACCAGAGGTAATAGTCCCTACAACTGTGGGTGTTCCAGGACCTTTCACAGGTGCGCAGTGCTGGATATGTACTTCCAGGTTCAATAACAAACTGAAACGGTTTGTCTTCAGGACAGTCCCAGTTCCCCAGTCCTCCCTAAAATCCTTACACAAATACCTCAGATTCGCATGGAATCCCCAAGGTCAGTTATTACCTCTTTGAGATGAGGGGTAGCCCAAGATGCATGCCTGCATATTCCTAATATACACCTCATCTGCATATTATATGCTTTGCAGTAGAAGATGATCACTACTGTTTTACTATACTGTGCTCCCAGTAACCACAAAGGTCCGTGCACCTTTTCAGGTCATCCTCAGCTGTTACTGCCAGGACCAAGTGGAATGCCCCCCCCAACATCTTCAACCGGATCTGCCAAATGTGAGAGACTCTAGACATGGATATCCTGGCCTCCAAGTTCAGTCACAAGTTGCCTTTGTGGCCATGACCAAGTATCTTCTTGCGCTGATATTGGATGCTTTGATAATTCCCTGGACCCAGTGCTTTTCCTCCAGTGCGTTTCTATCTTGACACAAAACAGAACAAGAAACAAAAACAGTCAGTGATTCTCATTGCCCCATACTGATCCAGAAGAACATGGTTAACAGACATGTTTAACCTCTTCACGCCAGCGCCTCCCGGCCCTTTAAGGGGTTTCTGACACTGGGAGGTCAGGTGGGTTTAGGTTCATGGGACCACCGTGATTGGCTGTCACGGCAGTCACATGATTGGAAAGGTCCCGATCGCAAGGAGAGATCAGGACTTTTCCTTGGGAAGCCGATACGTGCTGGGAGTGCACAGGGTGCGTGCTCTCAGCAGTTTGTTTACAAATGGTACACAATTATGCGGCCCAACCACCAAGAGGCCGCATATTTGCGTATGCTCAGCGTTAAGAAGTTAAACTGCTAGCAGGCAATCCCTTAGCTCTTCCAAACAGACCAGACTTGCTCTCGGGACCTCCTATTCTATCCTGCTTCTCAGTCACTGGCTTTAACAATGTGATTTGCTTGGTGTGGAACAGAAGTACTTCAGTTCTAAAGATTACTCAGTGCCTCACGTTCTGGCCTTCTTACAGTCTAGACCTGACCATAACTTGGCCTTAAGTACTCTGAAAGGACAAATTTCTGCCTTGGCCATCCTTTTCCAAAAGTCTCTGGCCTCCCTCTCCCTTTTTAACATCTTTAGTTAATGTTTATTGCAATTCAGGCCTCCCTTTCAGTATCCTGTGATTCCTAGGAATCCTAATCTGGTTCTCTCTGCCCCAAAGAAACCACCCTTTGAACCTATGAAGAAAATCCCCATAAAAGATCTCACCTTTAAAGTAGCCTTCTTGGTTGCTATCATGTCATTTCTCTGAGCTAAAGGCACACTTTGTAAGTATGTACTCCTTATATTTCACAAGGACAAGATGGTCTTATAACTTTAGGAAGAAAGGTTCATCCTGGGTGTATCATTCTTCCACTTCAGTGGAGACCGAGTTCTTCCTTCCTACCCTTAGGAGCTCACAAGGGACATCCTGTTTCAAAGTCCAATTTGACAATGCCACGACTGTGGTGTATATATAAATCACAAAGGTGGTACCAGAAGTCTGGCTCCTCTTAGGGAAACGGAGATCATTCTGATTTGGGTGGAACAAAATTTTCGGTTCTGTCTGTGGTACACATTAACGGAATGGAAAATTGTCAGATGGACTTCCTAAGACCAATGGCTAGATCCTAGAGTGTGAGCCCTCCACTCGAATGTGTTTCACCAACTTTATCTTCGGAGGGACCAGACGTAGATATACGTCCAGACTTAACCAGAAACTGGACAGGTTTGTTTCCAAATCCAGGGATCCTTGGGCCTTTGGAGTAGATGCTCTATTCACTCCATGTAACCAGTTCAACCTGTTTTAGGCATTCACTCCCTCAAGCTCCTGCGTCATCTGCTTTGGGGTATAGAGGGAAGGCTTTACAGTGATTCTCATTGCACCGAATTAGCCCTGAGAGCGTGGTTCTCTGACACAATCAGACTCCTAATAAACCATCAGTGTTCCTTACTAGACTTCCAGACCTTTTCTCTCAAGTTCCTGTGTTCCATCCTGCTTCATGGTAGCTGGGGTTGACAGCTTTCTTTTTGAAGCACAAGCCCATAGAGACAGGGGTCTTGCAGACTCTGTGATTCCCACGTTACTGAAGTAGAGAATGCCCCCTTCTCCTAAGGACTGCAGAGGAGGATCAGGCTGCTTGTACTACCGTACTTAGCATATTTTGCTTGGTGCGAAAAAGGAAAGGAATTTGTCTCAGGTAATACTCCGTGGCATGGGCATTATCCTTCCTTCAGTCAAGCCTGGATAAGTCCTTAGCCCAGAGGACCATAGAAGGTCAGGTTTCTTTTTCAGAGACCATTGACTTCCAATTTCTTCATCAGAGCCTTTTTGCAAGGGGTGGTTCACATTATTCCTGAAGTATGCTTTCCACTAACTTTGCGACCTTATTCTGGTGTTATCAGTCCTTCAGAGGCCACCGTTTAAACCCATTTGGGATATTTCTTTCCCTCTCACGCACAGTTGCTTGATTGGAAAGTCCTAAAGACAGCCCTGCAAGGGCCTTGACAGTTTCACCATTTGTTATGTCAAGTGGATTGTTACTTTTGGGCCTGTTACATGTTGCTTGTAGTTGCCCACACCCCCATGGGATTGCTTATGGATGTGCCAGTAGTTTGTGCTAATCCTGTTTTGCCCTGTGATGCTGAATTAAGAAAACAGGATTTTTGTCTTGTAAAATCCCTTTTTTGGAGTAAATAGCATGACCCAGGTCCCTCATCGTTCATTTCACTCCTGTAATGCTCCTGTATTTTACTCCTGTAAAACTGAGGCAGTGGTAGATAGGAGTGAGAGGGTTTCGTGATGGGTGGTGTCTTTTATTTGCCAGTGTCCAGTCACCTGGAGGCATCACCTGTCTATCTCACCAAATATGTTGCCAGCCTCACTCTTTGCCAAAGCTACAATTCCTGTAGAATCTACTTGTATTGCTGGTCTCTCTATCACTCAGCACTGTGGTTCCTTCTGCTGGCCCGCATGTTACTACAGAATACTGTACCATTGCAGGGGCCAGGGGAAGGCACCTCAGCATTCAGCAGGGGACCAGGCCTCAGCACTCCTGGAAGAATGCAAGATAGAATTCTCCAGGTATCATAGCTTTTTTTTTTTTATATATAAACGGTTGAAGGATTCTTTAAGAAAAAAAATATTGAAGCCTTATTTTCATAGTAAATGGAATATTCTGATAAGTATAATTAGTGTATATGGGTTAATTACGGAAAAGTATTAGTAAGCTCTGATAAATTTGCAGAGTTTTGTACTGGCTCTACTTTTCTGAAATGTTGCCATGAGAACCAAAATATACAAACAATTTGCTAATTCCATGTTGGTGGTTGTCAAAGCATTTCACTCATAAACAAGCAACTGAAAAATGAAAATTGTTTAAATGATTGACAGCTTTGCTCTTTCATGTTAATATTCTCAATACTGGCAGGCTTTTAAATAGCATGTCATCATAATATAGTAATGTTTACTATACTGACTATAATGAGAGAATATTAAAGTAATTTTTACAAGTATGCTTTTAATGTTGTTTGAAAAGATGCATTTATGTAATTTAACGATTTTCATCTTGTGAAATAGCTCGAATGACATCGCTACAAGAAGAATTGAAACATCTCAAACACAACCTTGAAAGGGCAGAATTGAACAGGAAAGAGGCATTGGATCTCTTAAACTGTTCGGAAAAAGTAGGTTGTCAAGAATAATGTGTTTTTAATTTCTTTGTCATTAATGTGATTGCTGCACATGTTTAAAAACTGTTCTAAGTAACAAAAAACAAATTCAATCAGTACTGATGTACACTGTACAGTACTTATGTGTACAGTTTAGTTATGTTATCCTAGAAGCACATCAGTCCTATCTAAATCTGAATTTTTGTAATCCACCAAAATGGGATTCCAGAGAGCTCCTCGCACTGGTGGCTGAAACGGCTTTGCAATTTCTGTTTCTCTTATATGTCACTAGATACATATCCATGTTATGGCAGATTTGATTAGGGGCTCTTTGAATATTTTTAGTATTAGTCTTTGATATATCATGCTTTCTTTAAGTGAGAGACACCTTGTAGGCTGCAGAGGGTTAGTTTGTGAATTTCTATCTTTCATTGCAAACAGGTAAGATAAAAGGAGTTCACAAATCAGAGATTACCAACAAAATGATTGACTTGGATGGACATGGTAATTTTTTCTTCAAATTGGCCAACTTTGTGTCCGTTATAATTGTTCCACCATTACAACAAGTGGTTATTTGGTGGTTAGAGACCCTGTTACTAGATATTTATTTTCAAAAACAGTCTTCCAATAATATTTTAACATATTTTAGGCATATTATCTACTTGTACAGCCTCCCTTGTGTAGACATCCAAAAGCCCTGAGTCTGTTACATGGCACCACAATCGTTAATTTTTATGTTATCCAAAGCAGAGTAGTCACTCAAGTGACACTATATTATTCCCCTTTGCATTATCAGTACATATTGTAAATGGCAGCAGGGACGACTGTATTAAACTCCCTTTTAGACATTTTCCTAAAGTGGTTCAACTGGCCAGTTTTATTTTCCCAAATTTAGGATTTCAGTAATTTCTAAATGAGAAATAACCTTGCATATGTGTGCATTTTCTACAGGAAAAAAATAATTTAGAAATTGAGTTGAATTACCAACTGAAAACTTTGCAGCAACAGTTGGATCAGGAGATTAATGAGCATAAGGTGACGAAAGCACGACTGAGTGACAGGCACCAGTCATTTGAAGAGGAGAAATCCGTTGCTATGTGTGGTGAGTCTCTGTTACTGCTGGTTAAGCACAATATTAAGCCCATGACTGCATTCTCTATATCGTAATTGTTCTTAGTTATATATGTTTGTGCAATATGTGTGAATCTTAAATTAAACTTCAGCTAAACCTTTGTAGCTTTGGATGGGGAAAATTAAATACTGTTAGTTTTGTATTGCTTTCTTTGTCACTGCTAGGAACATTTGGCCCCCATTGGGTCACGGTAAGGAGGTCAGGAGGCAATTCAGTCATTTTTGGATATACTATCAGCGGCTGCAGTGCACATCCACAGCACTTTTGCACATTTTAGATTGTGGATCACCTGCGTTTTTATACACTGATTTTGGAATTTGATTGGACATTTTTTTATGTATTTTGATTCACCTGGTTGTTGCAAATATTTTCAATATTATATATTGATGTGATTTTTTTGAAGCACTGTTCACTCAGTTTGTATGATTTATCCCCCAGTGCTGGGATCACGTTATCACCGTTTGATCAGTGACATTCTGATCACTTGTCTTGTTTGCACTGTTTTTTGATCCTTTTGAATTTAGGATTGGGGAATTTTCAATGCATGTTTTACAGTATATCACAATTATTTTCACTATCTCACTTTGTGTTTATCACACTTTGATTGTAATAAGACACTAGTAGGAGATTTATATAGACTCTCTTGCACTTTAGGGTATTTTATTTGTGGATGATTACCGTATTTTTCGCTCCATAAGACGCACCTAACCATAAGACGCACCTAGGTTTTAGAGGCGAAAAACAAGAAAAAAAAATATTCTGAACCAATGGACTGCAGACACAGTACAGGGGATGACCAGAGACTGCGGACACAGTGCAGGAGATGACCAGAGACTGCGGACACAGTGCAGGAGATGACCAGAGACTACGGACACAGTGCAGGAGATGACCAGAGACTGCGGACACAGTACAGGGGATGACCAGAGATTGCAGACACAGTACAGGGGATGACCAGAGACTGCGGACACAGTGCAGGAGATGACCAAAGACTGCAGACACAGTACAGGGGATGACCAGAGACTGCGGACACAGTGCAGGAGATGACCAGAGACTGCGGACACAGTGCAGGAGATGACCAGAGACTGCGGACACAGTACAGGAGATGACCAGAGACTGCGGACACAGTGCAGGCGATGACCAGAGACTGCGGACACAGTGCAGGCGATGACCAGAGACTGCGGACACAGTGCAGGCGATGACCAGAGACTGCGGACACAGTGCAGGCGATGACCAGAGACTGCGGACACAGTGCAGGCGATGACCAGAGACTGCGGACACAGTGCAGGATGATGACCAGAGACTGCGGACACAGTGCAGGGGATGACCAGAGACTGCGGACACAGTGCAGGGGATGACCAGAGACTGCGGACACAGTGCAGGGGATGACCAGAGACTGCGGACACAGTGCAGGGGATGACCAGAGACTGCGGACACAGTGCAGGGGATGACCAGAGACTGCGGACACAGTGCAGGGGATGACCAGAGACTGCGGACACAGTGCAGGGGATGACCAGAGACTGCGGACACAGTGCAGGGGATGACCAGAGACTGCGGACACAGTGCAGGGGATGACCAGAGACTGCGGACACAGTGCAGGGGATGACCAGAGACTGCGGACACAGTGCAGGGGATGACCAGAGACTGCGGACACAGTGCAGGGGATGACCAGAGACTGCGGACACAGTGCAGGGGATGACCAGAGACTGCGGACACAGTGCAGGGGATGACCAGAGACTGCGGACACAGTGCAGGGGATGACCAGAGACTGCGGACACAGTGCAGGGGATGACCAGAGACTGCGGACACAGTGCAGGGGATGACCAGAGACTGCGGACACAGTGCAGGGGATGACCAGAGACTGCGGACACAGTGCAGGGGATGACCAGAGACTGCGGACACAGTGCAGGGGCTGACCAGAGACTGCGGACACAGTGCAGGGGATGACCAGAGACTGCGGACACAGTGCAGGGGATGACCAGAGACTGCGGACACAGTGCAGGGGATGACCAGAGACTGCGGACACAGTGCAGGGGATGACCAGAGACTGCGGACACAGTGCAGGGGATGACCAGAGACTGCGGTCACAGTGCAGGGGATGACCAGAGACTGCGGACACAGTGCAGGGATGACCAGAGACTGCGGACACAGTGCAGGGGATGACCAGAGACTGCGGGGAATGACCAGAGACTGCGGGGAATGACCAGAGACTGCAGGGAATGACCAGAGACTGCAGGGAATGACCAGAGACTGCAGGGATGACCAGAGACTGCAGGGAATGACCAGAGACTGCAGGGAATGACCAGAGACTGCAGGGAATGACCAGAGACTGCAGGGAATGACCAGAGACTGCAGGGAATGACCAGAGACTGCAGGGAATGACCAGAGACTGCAGGGAATGACCAGAGACTGCAGGGAATGACCAGAGACTGCAGGGAATGACCAGAGACTGCAGGGAATGACCAGAGACTGCAGGGAATGACCAGAGACTGCAGGGGATGACCAGAGACTGCAGGGATGACCAGAGACTGCGGACACGGTGCAGGCGATGACCAGAGACTGCGGACACGGTGCAGGCGATGACCAGAGACTGCGGACACGGTGCAGGCGATGACCAGAGACTGCGGACACGGTGCAGGCGATGACCAGAGACTGCGGACACGGTGCAGGCGATGACCAGAGACTGCGGACACGGTGCAGGCGATGACCAGAGACTGCGGACACGGTGCAGGCGATGACCAGAGACTGCGGACACGGTGCAGGGGATGACCAGAGACTGCGGACACGGTGCAGGCGATGACCAGAGACTGCGGACACGGTGCAGGGGATGACCAGAGACTGCGGACACAGTGCAGGCGATGACCAGAGACTGCGGACACAGTGCAGGGGATGACCAGAGACTGCGGACACAGTGCAGGGAATGACCAGAGACTGCGGACACAGTGCAGGGAATGACCAGAGACTGCAGACACAGTGCAGGGAATGACCAGAGACTGCAGGGAACACAGTACAAGGAATGACCAGAGACTGCAGGAAATGACCAAAGACTGCAAACAGTGCAGGGGATGACCAGAGACTGCTGACCTTTGGGGAGGAGGGGGAGCGGGTATCTGAATTTGACAGGTACCCGCTCCCACTTCCGCGGAGTTGTCCTTCCCTCTTCTTCCCGGGCCGGCTTCTGTGACAGCCGGGTGCCCACTGCGCATGCGCGAGAAGCGCTGCACTTTGTGAATGGCCCAGCGCCTTCTGGGACTTGTCATGTGTCCCAGAAGACACCGGATCTTTCACAAAGCGCAGCGCATGCGCAGTAGGAACCCGGCTGTCACAGAAGCCAGCGCGGGAAGACTGTGCAGCGCTGGAGCGAGGAACAGGTAAGGTCCTGCAGGAGAGAACAGCTGAGCGGCCGGCCCGATATTCTGACATGGTGGCGGCAGAAATACCGGACCGGCCGCTTTATATTCGCTCCATAAGACGCACTGACATTTTCCCCTCTTTTTGGGGGGGGGGGGGGGGAAAGTGCGTCTTATGGAGCGAAAAATACGGTAGGTCTATTATATATAATTTTGAAGTTTAGATCGCATAAATATATTTGTTTATGCATCATTTTCACTGTTTTGAGCGCTCCTTCATTATTTTATTATTGATGGGGCACTGTTCCTCATCCTACTGACCATAGGCCCTATATAATTGTTTTAATCCTATTCACCACTATGCCTGAGACATTGTCTACTTCCACTGATGTCACAGAATTTTCCACTCCTGCTGGCCGCAGTCTGGCCCTGCTAAAGTCTGAAGAACAGTAAACTGGCCCTTTGTTTAGAACGTTTGGAGACCCCTGATCTAGAGCATACCTGTTAAGTGTTTTTGTTTCTAGTTTTTTAGACTGTAGGACTACTGAATTTTGCTAAATCACTATGCATTGCATACAGAATTGAACTATCTTTTATTATTTTCCTAATTCCTTTCTTTTATCTCTGGTTTTTAATCTAGTCTAAATAATTTAGAGTGTATATGCAAACTAAACCTTCCCATCCTTAACTGCTAAGGACTGCGCCATTTTAGCCCTTGTTAAGATTTGCAGTTGCCAATGTGCTGCACATCCCTTTGAAGGCTTGAACGTTGAGAGCTGACCTAACCATGTTGGCAACTGTGATTGGTATCACCATAGACATGCCTTCAATGTTTTGGGAAACCAACTTTGTGGATTATTCACTTTTTTTTGTTTGGCATTGACATATCGATTTGTTTTCTTGACTAATTTTAGAGATGGAAATGAAAGTGAAAGCAGAAAGGGCAGCGAAGGAGAAAGCGGAGAACCGAAGAGTGGAGATAGAGAAACAGTGTTCAATGCTGGATTTTGATCTGAAACAAGCACATCAAAAGATAGAGCACCTCGCTCAGCAAAAGGAGAGGCTGGAGGAAGAGGTGACCATGACTTTTTATTTGTAGGCAGCAAGCAGTTTTTTGAAAATGTGGTAAAAATGGTGCTGCTGGCCATAACAAGCCGTCACAGAATATGGTTGTCATGAAAGAACTACCCTTATATGCCATTTCTCATTAAAGGATAGGTTCACCTTTTGTAGCATGTTACACCCTTATTTAGAATGCAACATGTTCCAGCTCAGCGCGCACCGCTCAGCCTCCATTCCCCCATGACAGTGGGTCAGGGTTCCTCTCCCCCACAGCCGCTGTCACATTTAAAATCAGTGCAGCTGTTCGGGGCTCTGCCTACACAGCCGCATTATTCCTTCACAGAGATCTGTGACTGAATGAACTACAAGTTCCGTCTACCACTGTGGCAAATGGACTTGTAGTTTCAATCGATTGCGAGCATGCTGGTCAGTACACTTGTAGTCAATTCACACTTCCTGTAGCTCTGAAACTGACATCCCATATGTAGGCACGGGCATAGGGGTTTAGGCAGTGTATGTAGGAGCCTGACATTGCATCCACAATCCACTGATCTTGGTGCAATGCTCTTCAGGCTCCTGTGAAAAAGAATTAATGCATTTTGTGTGTGTGTGTGTGTGTGTGTGTGTGTGTGTGTGTGTATATATGTGTGATTTTTATCTTATTTTCTTCTTACAAAGGTTAACTATTCCTTTAATCAGCCTAATATAAGGAGGAAACCTGTGTCATTTACCTTTCACACAGTACATTAATACACATAGCCTTCTATCTTTGGCTAAGACATTTGGTAGCTTATGTAACAGCAGCATAGGCAGTGGTGGATATGTCATAAAAGGCAAATTACATCAGCTTATGTCCAGCAAATGTTTAACTTATCAAAGGGAGTCAGGGTTTGTTTATACACTGCTCAAATATATTAAAGGAACACTTTGAAAGCACATCAGATTTCAATGGGAAAAAATATCATGCTGGATATCTATGCTGATATGGACTGGATAATATGTTTGGAACATAAGGATGCTCCATCGTTTGATGGACATGAAAATGATTAGCCTACAGAGGACTGAATTCAAAGACACCCCAAAATCAAAGTGATAAAATGATGCCGCAGGCTAGTCCATTTTGCTGAAATTTAATTGCAGCAACCTAGAATGGTACTCAGTAATTTGGATGGCCCCCACGTGCTTGTATGCATGCGGACAACATTGGGGCATGCTCCTAATGAGACGACAGAGGGTATTCTGGGTTATTTCCTCCCTGATCTGGACCAGGGCATCACAGAGCTCCTGGACAGTCTGAGGCGCAACCTGGCGTCGTCGGATGGACCGAAACAAGATATCCCAGAGGTGTTCCATTGGATTTAGGTCAGTTGATTGTTGGGGTCCATTCAATGGTATCAAATCCTTCATCCTCGAGAAGTGCCTGCATACTCTCGCCACATGAGGCCGGGAATTGTCGTGCACCAGGAGGAACCCAGGACCCACTGCACCAGCGTAGGGTCTGACATTGAGTCCAAGGATTTCATCCCGATACCTAAAGGCATTCAGGATGCCATTGGTCTAGCCTGTATAGGTCTGTGCGTCCCTCCATGGATATGCCTCCCCAGACCATCACTGACCCACCACCAAAACAGTCATTCTGAACAATGTTACAGGCTGCATGACGTTCTCCACGGCTTCTCCAGACCCTTTCACGTCTGTCACAGGTGCTCATCGTGAACCTGCTCTCATCTGTGAAAAGCACAGAGAGCTAGTGGCGGACCTGCCAAATTTTGTGTTCAGTGGCAAATGCCAATTGATCTCTGTGGTGCCGGGTAATGAGCACAGGGCCCACTAGAACAACATTGGGCCCTCATGCCACCCTCATGAAGTTGTTTGATTGTTTGGTCAGATACATTCACACCAGTGGCCTGCTGGGATATCATTTTGTAGGGCTCTGGCAGTACTCATCCTGTTCCTCCTTGCAGAAAGGAGCAGATACCGGTCCTGCTGATGGGTTAAGGACCTTCTACGGGCCCTGTTCATCTCTCCTAGAGTAACTGCCTGTCTCCTGGAATCTCCTTCATGCTTTTGAGACTCTGCTGGGAGACACAGCTAGCTTGGCAATGGCACGTATTGATGTGCCTTCCTGGAGGAGTTGGACTGCCTGTGCAACCTCTGTAAGGTCCAGGTATTGCCTCATACTACCAGTAGTGACACTGACCCTAGTCAAATGCAAAACTAGTGAAAACAGTCAGAATAGATGAGTAAGGGAAAAAATGTCAGTGGCCTCCACCTGTAAAACCATTCCTGTTTTGGGGTTTGTTTCATTGTTGCCCATCTAGTACACCTGTTGTTAATTTCATTAACACCAAAGCAGCTGAAACTGATTAACAACCCCCTCTGCTACTTAATTGACCAGATCAATATTCCAGGAGTTTAATTGACTTGATGCTATACTCTGATTAAAAAGTGTTCCTTTAATTTTTTTGAGCAGTGTACATTGGGTAAATGAGAAGATCAGGAAGCCAAGTGTCATAGCAGATCTCAATCAGATTTATTTCCAACCAGCAAAAACATTAATTGCAGTAAATCATGGCATTAATCTAAATGTTATGTTCCATTTTTGAGAACTGGAAAGCGGTGAGATTTGATTTTAGGGGTTACTGCTCATCATAGCTTTATTCACTGCTTATTGTACTATCCTGGAGCTTAAAAACATGTTGGTACAACAGTGCTAGAGTGTCTATTTTCACCCACAAAATGATTGCCAACCACCTGTAGTCTGTTTACATTCAGTTTACCACCTGTAAAACAAATTTTATGTTTGCTGCACGTGAAGTACAACTTAATCTTAAGTGCACAATGCTTAAATTGAATACAGAAGAGTCCGTTTTAACATTCTACACCAGAAAGTCATTTTTATTTTTCTCCAAAAGAATTTTTATCTCTAACCGGTTGCTTTATATTTATACCCAAACCTTACAATATCTCATTCTTACAGTTAAAAAAAATAACTTTCTATGCATATGTAGCCAACCACCCCATAAGATTTTAATTGAAAATGTGAAAGTTGTACTTCCAAGATACTGTTTCTTTGACCTCAAGGAGATAATGGTGATCCTGTCAGATTGAGATAGAGTAAACTTTGTGAAATCTTATTTAAAAATCTAATATTTATTTAAAATCTAATAGTTGGATTGTGGCTTTGCTTACATTCATTGACTTTGGAGAAGGTGTCCCAGGAATTGAGTTGAGCACCAATTTTCTTATAGATTCTGAAACACAAGTTAAAAGCCTGGAACTGTTTGGTTTTTTTTTTACCAATCTATATAAGGTTAAATACTACCAATATAATTTACTTTAAGCCCTTTCACCCTTGCAGTATTATTTTGAATAATAATTCAAGTTTCATAAAACATTTTGTTAGTACTATGGTTGATTCTGAGCTTCCACTATGCTTTAGTACTTGAAAGCTACATTATCAACAGCAATCAGACTGGGAAGGGAAATGCAGCATTTTGAATCAATTCGGCTCTGGTACTTGGTTCTGCACTGTCAATCTTGGTGCATAAATTGCTGACAAGAACATCAGTTTGCTGCACACCCCCATTTTCTTGTAGGCTGGGTTAGGTCCTGGCTCAGGTTGTATTGGTTAAAATGCAATATAGTCTGCACAAAGGACTAGGCCGTGCTGTTTGCCAGGGTTGCTTGGATTACAAAACTTGCATGCCAGAATTACAAATGCTTTGGCCAGGAAAACATTTGGCAATATATTATATGTATTTCAATTGCATATGTAGCTGTTTGCCCATAGTTTAACTTTAGAGGAGGGAAAAATCTTCCTTATGACGACACACTGTATATTTTTGTATTGTATGGCAAAAGTTAATGTCAGGTTTGTTCTTTGTAGGTGAAGCAACTGACACTGCAACTCGAACAAGAGACAAAGAGGAGGTTAACGACTCAGAATGAGCTGAAGGTGCATGCGTTTGAAGCTGATAATTTGAAGGGATCAGAGAAACAGTTGAAGCAGGAAATAAATACGTTGTTGGAAGCAAAGAGGTTACTGGAATTTGAGCTTGTTCAGTTAACCAAGTATGTATATTTTATGTCTATATATTTTCCTGTAATTACACTGTACTGTATATTATAAATAGATTTAGCCTTGTTTACATGGCCATGAAATACTGTAACATTTCTATAGAGCTCTTTGGGATTTGAAAGCTGAGTAGTGAAAGGGTTTATGGGGGAAGGAAAGACTTGTCCACCTATCATGTGGTCTTGGCAGTTTTAGCTGACAATTAGAGGTTTTTTGAGTGCTGTGTTTTGATAGCTGGGGACATGAAGTCTAGTGGAGAGCAGTACAATTCAGTTAATGACTTGCATTCTTGGCATGCATTGCAGTATGTATGCCTGAGCGTTGCCTCAATAGACATGGACATTCTTGGCAAAAGGTTAAAAAATATGCCAGCTTTCCCTATTTTTTGTTCACTTTTCATTCTTTTAAATCCCATCTGTTCCGTTATCCAGCTTACATCAAGTCTCATTTTAATAAAAGTGGCGCCAACTGCAGGTTGAGTAATCCCTGTTAATTGTTTTGGATAACATCTTCCTATGTGCTTGCAGACAGCATTAATAGTGAATCAGTTGTAGGTGTGATTTGATAGAGGTAGTCCTTAGTGCCACACTAGTCTCTTTATCCTCTTGTGTACTTTGCACTTTAAAGAGATCGGTTGCACAATTAAATCCCTAATTAAAAATTGAATGAAGATATAAGAACCTCAGCTGCTGTTAGATTTACCTAAGGTGCTCTGTGCATTGAACTGGCATTTCACCTAGTATTTTTTTGAGGGAAAAGTTCAGTCATTCTCCGTTTTAGGGCAACCGCACATTACAATGTGTGACTATGATTGTACAGGCACTGGTCCTTCCAGTTTAACCTGAGATTGTGTGTGTCTACTGCTTTCCATATCCTTGTACATAGTGTTTGCTAAGAAACACGTCTAAAACCTTTTTGTTGTTTTTTTTTTTTAATCTGCACTATCTGCACCACCTAAAGTGCAAGGGAGTTCCGCATCTTTATTATCCTAACAATAAAAAACAACTCACGCAGTTTAAAATTAAACCATTTCTCGTTAAGAGTCATTGCGTGGACATGCGTCTTTTTTTTGAGATCTGAGATTTGAAAGTTTCCTCCTAAAGCTGGAGTCACCATTTAAGTATTTGTTTATCATGGTCATATCCCCTTTCATGCATCACTATTCCAGGGAGAATATGTTTAATGTTTGTATTACACCTAATTGAGGTCTTTCAGCTCCCTTATGAGCTTTGTTGCCCTTTTCTGGACCCTCTCTAGTTCAATGACATCCTTCCTGAGGATTGGTGACCAGAACTGGACAGCATACTCAAGATGCTGCCAAACTAGGGTTTCATAAATCTGTTTTATCCATTGAGTAAATACCCTTTGTAATGATTGATAATAGTCTGATGGCATTGTATGCTGTTGCTGAGTCGGTCATCTACCAGATCCTTTTCCATCCTCCCCTAGAGGTTCTCCCCCTACCATGTAACTTGCATTCATATTTTTAGCTCCCAATTACATTACTTTTACATTTTTCTACATTGATCATCATCTGCCATATAGCTAACCACCCTCTAGATCTTGTAAAGTTGCTGTATCCTTTTGTGAGTTAATTGCCCTGCCTAATTTTCTATCACCAGCAAACACGTAGTTTGAAATATTTATTCCAATATCTATATTGTTTATGAACAAATTAAACCGAATTGGTCCCAGGACAGAGCCTTGGGGCACCCTGCTCCCAACTCCAGACCATTTAGAAAATATGCCACTAGCACTACCACCTGGGTGGTATCCTGCAACGGGTTTTCTATCCAGGTACATAGCATGTCATCAATGCTAAATGACCTCAATTTGTGAATTAAGCATTTTTTGGTTACTGTAGCGAATGCGATAGAGAAATCTAGACAATCTGCTAGGTCCACAGGTCCTTCCTCTATCCAAATTACAGCTCATCTTCTCATAGAATGTTAAAAGTTTGGTCTGGCAAGAACAGTTATTTATAAATCCACATTGGTTACTATTTTTGGCAGCAAATCTTTGGATGTGGTCCCTTATCAATCCTTTCAATAGTTTACATACTACTGATGTTAGGCTGACTGGTCTATGGTTTCCAGATATAAATCTTGATCCTTTTTTGAATATTGCACTGCATCTGCTTTTCACCCAAATGTTGGTACCATTCCAGTAAGAAAGCAGTCCTTAAAAATTAGGAACAATGGCCTGGCCATAAGAAGCTTTTTTTTGAGAATTCTCAGGTGTAAAACAGGCAATTCATGAGTCGAAAAGTGAGACCTTTCATGTTGAAAGAGCGAATGTTTGATTTTTGAATAGTTAGTGTGCCTACAACGACAAGCAATTTTTGTGTGATCACCAAAAATTGCCCATCAAAAATGTTGGAAATTTTTATCATAACGAACGATTTGTTAATTGTTTATATTGTTATCATTTGAAAAAAAATTCTAAAACTGAAATGTGCATGAGCAAAAAGAACGTTCTCTGTCACAAAAATTATTTCATATCTTATTTTGATGACCATAATGTAGTGTGTTTTTCTACTATAGGAAATAAAAAAAATTCCTGCAGCCAGAGCTGGCTGTAGGGGACAAGCGAATTCAACATTTTGTGTTTTGCAGCCTTTTAATCACAAGGAATCCAGACAGGCTGGAAACGTGTGAAGCAAAGCTATTTGACCTAATAAATGTGGTAGTACTGTTATTCTTTCAAGCCAAGAGGTCAAAATACATTGCATCACATCTGCGGATGAAGAAAAATGTTTTCTTAGGCAAAATTCGTAAACAATGATGGCACAATTGTATGAAAAATTGATCGACCATTTTTGATTTTCATTCGACAAATTGTTCATTTTTCTACTTGTCTACGGCTTGCCCTAGCCATCTGGTCCTAGTGATTTGTTCACATTAAGTTTTTCTATTCTCTTTTAAACACTGGTCTCTGTGAGCCACAAGGCTGCATTCAATATACTTTTGTTTACTTTAGTGTCTTGTTTATTATATCCCTTCTTTTAAAATGAGGGGAAGAATGTATTTAATAGGGATGCACCGAAAATTTGGTGGCCAAAACGTTTCGGCTGAAAACACTCCTTTTGGTCGTCGGCCGATATGAAAATAAACACTGATACAGGTGTTGAAAAAAACCTTGCCCCCACCCGCCCGCTGTTGCCACTGCCGCCGCACCCAAGAAACCATCGAACGATCCCGGCGCTGGGTATAGAGATTAGTGAAGGAAGATGGCCTCCACTCATCTCTATTCCCTTTGCGGACCGGAATGATGTCACCTCCGGTTTCGGCCATTTTTTGTTTTGTTTTTTAAAAGCCGTAGATCAATGCTTTTTTTTGTTCTTTGTTTTTTTTTTGTTTGTTTGATCCAGTGCTTTACATTGCAGAGGAGAGATGTGGGGTCTTATTGACCCCATTTCTCTCCATAAAGAGGACCTGTCACTAATTATTTCTATCACGGGACACATGCATTTCTTGTGATAGAATAAAAGTTATTACAACATTTTTTAAAGGGACAGTGCAAAAGAAAAAGGAAAAAAAACAAAACATTAAATAAATTTAAAAAAAGAGTCTAAAGAGTCCCCATGCTCGCACGTATTGGTGAAAGTATGCGTAGGCCTTGCCCACATATGTAAATGGTGTTCAAACCACACACGTGAGGTATTGCCACGAACGTCAGAGCAAGAACAATTCTCGCACTAGACCTCCTCTGTAACTTTACACTGCTAATCTGTGGAAATTCTTAAAAGCATCACCCACGGAGGTTTTTAAGTTTCACGCCATTCCACGATCATGTGCAATTTTAAAGCGTGACATGTTGGGTATCTATTTACTCGCCGTAACATTCTCTTTCATATTTTACAAAACAATTAGGGTATATATTGTTTTTTTTTGGGGTTTTTTCCTAAAAATATATATATTTATTTTTAAAAAACTGCTTATTTCGGTTTTTGGCCAAGTGCATTTTGAATTTTCGGTTTTGGCACCAGAATTTTCATTTCGGTGCACCACTAGTATTTAATACAGTTGCCTAGTCCCTGTCACTCGTAACCATCTTTCCTTGATCGTCTTTTTTATAGGGTCAATATGTTCTGACCTTATCTTTTAACTATTAATATATGTGAATACCATATGGACCGCCTGTAAAAAGTGCAAAATATTAAAACTCTGTGGCAATATATGAAAAAAAATATTGATACTGATATTATTAATCAGTCCCAGTAAGTGAGACTTTTAAACACTGGTAAGTGAGACTAAAGTGCTAAAATTCTTCATTGTGAACTCAGTGTACAATAACAGGTGCTCCACTGTGCTCAGACTGGTGCCCCACATGGACTGACACTCACCGTCATCCCGTGACCACCTATCTCTAGGATGGTCATTTGCGCAAACGACCATCCTGGAGATGGGTGGTCACGGGATGAATTTTTGATATTTTGCACTTTTTATGCGCGGTCCATATGGTATTCATTTATGATGTGTGTATTAGTTCATAGTTAGGATGGCTGCAAATGGTTTTGTTACTATTGATTATATCCATAAGTGCAGTAGCACCTTTTTATTTCTTAACTATTAATATAATTGAAAAAAATGGGGATTTTCGTTTTCACTCACTTCAGCAATGTGTCTTTCGTAATCTCTTTTATCAGCCCTGATCAAACTTTGTAGTTTTGGAATGCTGAGTCTCTGGCCTTATATTTATAAAAGTACTATTTTTCCTTGTTAATATGCCTTTTTACCTGAGCATTTAGCCATCCAGGTTTAACTTTTATTCTTTTATATTTGTTCCTTATTGGGCTGACAAATGCCATTGTTTAATACGGCCTTAAAACTCTCCAACTTTTTTCATTGCTCTTTGTTGCAAGAATTTGATTCCATTTAGTGTCATATAGTGTGGAGCACAGACTTTTCAAGTTGGCTCTTTTGAAATTTAGTGTTCTTGTCTTGCCCTTGTGTGTCCTTTTGCTATAATTTATGGCAAATGCAATTACTCTGTGATCACTGTTACCTACGTTTTCTCTTCCACATCTGCAATTTCTCATGTTTGTATTTAGTAGGTCCAGCAGAGAATTACCTCTAGTTGGGGCTTCCATCATTTGACTCAAATTGTGCTGCCTTTCGTTCAAGAAATGATGACCCTTAGCTTAGTGAGCAGTTCCATCTGCGTAATCAATATCCGGATAGTTGTAGTCCCCCATGAATATACCATTGCAGTGCCTCCCTGTAATCTCTAACTGTGAAAGATAGGTCTCTTCCTCCATAATGATAGGTGGCCTACAGCATACAGCCACAATTCACTGTTTAGTCCCTTTTGAAACTCCAGCCACAAAGACTCCACCTCTTCACCAGCCCAATTAGGAATGTCATCCCTCATATTCATGATCAAGTCTCTCTTCACATAAAGGCACCCACACTGTCCCTCCAATACAGGGAGTACCATTGGACAGTCGCAGGCCATTTATCTGAGCTGTCAAACCAGGTTTATGATATATAAAAAATCCTCTTGTAGCAGAAGTTCTAGTTCCTCCATTTTATTAACTAAACTTTTAGCATTCGTGTACATGCCTGTTTATTTTCTACATGCTCACATTTTATCCTTGCACACCTTTTGATTCCCTTTAGGTTCAGCTTGCTTGCTAGCCCTGGAAAGTTTAGTTATTCTATCATCTTGTTTGAGGCCCCCTCCCCCCCCCCCCCCCCCCCCCAACTCTGCCTCCATCTGCACACTCTGACCTTTGCTTGGTGCATGTTTACCTTTTCTGATTTCCCCCCACCCCATCCTCAGCAACTTATTTACCTCTGTAAGCTTATGCTGCCTGTATGCCTTCATCAGGGTTTGACTGACAATAGTGTGAACAAGCCGGAAGTGAGCTGGACCTTCAGTGGTATTGTTTACAGTGTAAATTACAAGCACAGGCCTTGTCAGCAGCTCGTTTTGCGGTCACTACTGTTTGGATTGTGCCCCTGACTTTTAATAGAATAAAGTTGTATTTGGACCTATTAACAGTAGTGCGGTGCTTCAGGTTCTCTCTTCACCATTGCTAGGTGGATTTGACTAATTATTTTTCAAGCCTATGGTGTAAAGCAATGGTTCCCAGCCTCAGTTCTCAAGTACCCCAAACAGGTCATCAGGATTTCCTACACCTTGCACAGATGCTTTAAATTGGTGTCAGGGGCTTGGTATTTAACAGCTTTTTTTTAATTGAAGGTACCACTTGTCTAAAGGTTCCACCCTTCCATGGTAAGGTGCATTCTATCAGATCTGTTATTGTTTTGTGTGCTTTTCTGCATCAGTCATCAGCTTCTCAACCTCTGAAGGCTGCCACCTAGTCTTTTGTTCACACATTAAAGTGTTGCAAGGTAAAGTTCAGGCCTCTTCTGATGCCAGTTTCGGGCACAAGGTGCTTCAAGCTGCTCCATGAGATCTGTCAAGCCTATCCATGACCCATTCTCATGCCGTCTTGTTGGCATTTGATTGCTGTGGTGCCCTAAGTTGGGCTGTTTTGGGACGTTTCATGGTTTAAGACTAAGAACCTATGGCCTGTACTGTATGATTAAGAAAATAGGTTTTTTTTAACTTGCCAGTGAAATAAGTTTCTTAGAATACAGTAAGCCATGGTTCACACCAGTGTGACTTGTCATGTGACTTGAGAGTTCAAAGTCCCATGACAAGTCACACCCCATTAGTAGCAAGGAACCAGTCAAATTGTTGCGACTCACGTTGCAGTGACTTACGTTGCAGCGACTTTGAAAAAAATTCCTGCAGTATTTTTGTGCGACTTGCATTGACAGCTGTTAAATGTAGTCACACTACATTTAAGCAAGCCGCAGTGAAGTCACACTGCATAGTTTGCTTTGAAGTTGCTCTGGTGTGAATCAGGGCTAAAGGACACAAGTCCCTCTCCATATCCCTTTTTAATGCAGGTTTGTTTGTGTTTTTTTATTTTTTAATCCTGTGTTTTGTCATGAGGCCTGTCTGCATGGGCAGTTCTTTCCTATTCATACCTATTAAATGGAAAACAAATGTCTACAACCTGGAAGGATTAAAATGGCAATTGCCTGCCATCTATTTGCCCAATAACTCTTATGCTGCAGTTAAGTTATGACTGGGTGATGCATTGAAATGATACAATGTCCCTCCTTGGGAAACTGTTTTTGTTTAGTTTAATGCTGCAAAATAGATGGTAAGAATTGTTTTCCCTTTTTTTTTTTTGCCAGGCAATATAGAGGAAATGAAGGTCAAATGAGGGAATTGCAAGATCAATTGGAAGCTGAGCAGTACTTTTCCGTAAGTGTTTGTTTTTTTTTTTTTTTTTGAGGTACGTAAATGGCCTGCACCTGTAGCAAGGGTATTATTCAACTTTAGTCAGAGCTGTACAGTTTGTTTTTATCTAGCATCACCCCTTACCTGCAATGGCAGTTCTTTGGTAAGGTTGAACAAACCCTTTAATGCAGAAGGTAAAAGAAATGCTAATGCCTGAACCAATTTTGCAACTTTTATATTTTTTATTATATAGTTACATAGTTGGTAAGGTTGAATAAAGACACCAGTTCAACCTGTGTGGGTCTGTGTATTCATGTCAAAACCATTTCCCATATCCACGTATACTGTGTTCACTAAGATGTCCATCAAAGAGTGTTTTAAAACGATCATTACTTCCCACTGACACCGCAGATTGTGAAAGGAAGTTCTTGCACATCCTTACTGCTCTGACAATAGGGGGGAAAAAAACCCTTCGCAATTTTAAGGTTAAACTACTTCTCCTCCAAATTCATTGAGTGGCACTGTGTCTTGCACTCCCTGTGACTGAATAGTGTGTGCCTTATGCTAGAATAACTATTAAGATATTTGAATATCACTATCGTATCTCCTCTTATGCAACTCTTCTCCAGGGACAATATGTTTAATGCTTGCAGTCAATCCTCATAACTCAGATCTTCCAGTTCTCAGCACAGAGCTTTTTTGTCCTTCTCTGTGCTCTATCCAGTTCCAGCACATCCTTCCTTAAGACTGGTGACCAGAACTGGATGGCATACTCAAGCTGTGGCTGAACCACATTCTGAGTATAAAATGGCAGGACTGTTGTTTTGTTTCTTGAATAAATACCCTTTTTTTGCATGCTTATTCTGCTAGCTTTGCTTGTTGCAGGTTGGCATTGCATGCCATTGCTGAGCCTGTGATCTACTAGGATCCCCAGATCTTTTTCCACCCTGGATTCCCGCAAAGGTTGTTTCGGTAGTGAGTAACTTGCGTTCATATTCTTAGCCCCCAAGTGCATTACTTTGCATTTTTCAACAGTAAATGTCATTTGCTTTTTAGTGGCCCACCCCTTTATTTTATTGAGGTCTTCTTGTAAAGTTTCTATATCCTTCTGTGAAGTTATTACCCTGCTTAGCTTTGTAAATATTTACCTCTTTGCAACCTCTTAGTGTATGCAGGTGAACCTTACCTTATTTTTTAGGACAATTTGAGCCATCATTGTGGTTTGAAAGATTAATGAATGTCTCCTTATTTTGTTTCATTACACTGTTCAACAAATTTTTATTTTTTGCCAGTTTTGGAAACAAAAGGATCCATTTATTAATGAATTTCACATTCTGAGTTCAAATATAACAATGAAATTTGTCAATTGGCTCTAGTTTTTCTGTAAACGGAAAGTTTTCTACTATAGGCGTAATGACTACATAATGCACAATAATTATATAGATAGATGTCTTTTCCACAAATATAAAGCAAGTGATATTGACTGCATAACAAAGCCTAAATGGCATAATATATTGCATAGGATTACCAAGAAAAATTATAGCCATAAGCTAAGTTGAATCATTTTAATACTTAGGATTCTCACTAGTTTTGTCTTCAGTTTGTGTCGGTTTTGCTTCTCTTGGCTTTTCTCTTGTATTCGAGGAAAGGGCTATCTCTTACAACTGCACGTGACTACACGCTTCAGGTTCTTCCTCACTTGACTCAACCACGAAGGATTCTGGTGCTTTAGGAATTGGTAGCCCCTCTCCATGAGGAACTGGACGTATTGCCGATGGAATATTTGGATAGTGCACAGATAACTTTTTCTTCTTATTTAGCCCTTTTACAATTGGAGGCACCATACAAAAGTAACAATTACTAACATGATCTGTTGGCTCTCTCCAAATCATTGGCACAGCAAAAGGCATAGATGCCTTTTTTCCATTCAACCATTGCTCTAGTGCCGTCCCACAAGAATTGCAGCATATATGTGGTGCCCAGCTCTTGTCCTGGTCTCCTATCTTGCAGCCAAAATACAAGTTGTAGGCTTTCTTAATCATTCCTGTTATCCTCCTTTTTTGTGAGATAAAAGTTATTTCACCGCAGATATAGCAGAAATTATCTGCTTTATTCACACAAGTCCGAGGCATTACTGAGTAGCCTATATAAGCATAAAACAAAATGTAAAGACGCTGTCGAACTACAATCAGCTACAGATACTGCAGCTTTTATGCAGTGAAGTGATGCAATTAAAGGCTAATATTGCATCATCTCAGTATACATGCAATTTTCTATTGGTCACCAGTATCAATTGCGCAATATGCAGCTGAAGTTGCATCATAATTTTGAATGGCTTACGTCATTAGATGGGTGAATATATCATGGAAACTAGAGCCAATCAACATTTTTTAGGGTCATTTTCGTTTTCAGCACCCCCCAAAATTATGTAAGATTAGCTAATTTTATGCCCAAAACTTTTTACCTGTTGAACAGTGTTATCAAAGGAAACTTATTTATTTTGCAAGAATCCAAAACCTAGGTTTGCAGCATACATAAAGTTTTTTAAATGTCCATTAGACGAAAAAGTTAGACTACAGTTTTGGCAATTTTAAGAACATTAAAGTGGAATTCCTGCCTAACACTATCTATTAACATGTCCCCTCCCCTCTCCTGCTACCTTTGCAGCATAACCTGTGTAAAAAAAGTTACTATTTTCAGCCTGCTCGGGTCTGGTTGCATAATCCCCTGTGTCAGTGAGCGGAGGCTGCAGGGGGAGAGGAGGGAGCGCTCGACAATGGCATAGGCTACCATGTCCCAGCCATAGTAAGAGATGCGGCAGCTGTTGACTGACACAGAGGAGATTGAACTGCTGATTAAGTGGCTGGAGCCGGCTGAAAATGGGGAAGAATACGCATGTTTTTTTTTTTCTTTTGATTTTTGTTTTGTTTTTTTACACAGGTTAGACAGCATAGGTAGGAAGAGGGGAAGGGCCATTTTTAAACATGATGATAGAAATCCGACTTTAAGCTTTGAAATGCAAAATATTGTACTATATTGTGTATATATTTATATTCTGTGCCCTTGTATAGTTTATTTGTTGTAGTCCTCTAATATTGCTCACTGTTTGAAGCAGAAGAATATAAATAAACTTAAGAGCTGGAGGACACATATCAGTGTGCAAAATTATTATACCCAAGGAACAAATCTAACTGGACAACTCCCCTTGTTTTCTTACAGACTCTGTACAAAACTCAGGTGAAAGAACTGAAAGAGGAGGTTGAAGAAAAGACAAAGCTAAGTCAGGATTTGGAGAAGAAAGTGGTTGAATATCATAATGAGAAGTAGGTTTTGTATTAATAAATGATCCTGATGTTCTATTATATATATCTGCTACATTGGTACATTCAGCACAATTCCAACAGACATTGTTATCCAAAACTCAATGTGTAGAAGTGCATGAAGAATTTACATCATACAACAATCCGATGTATGGTATATGTAGATCAGGTTTCATTAAATTAGTTATGGCTTTCTCATTTTTTTTTTGTTTAAATCGCATAATTTGATTTCAAGTTTTTGTTCCTTGGAGAGTTAATATGATCTTTGAATTACTGAAGAATACAATTTATTCCTCCTATGGATTAAGCAACAAAAATGAGAAAACCTGGATGTCTGCATGATACTACATTTATAAGAGCTCTGAATAGCGAATGACCAAGCAGATAACACCTCGCAATGTGAGCTTTGCATACCTCATTCAAGAAGTTTGTACTGACGGTGTGAGCTCCAGTCAAGGGGACCATAATTCACAGCCCCATAGAAAAAGGGGTCTATGATTCATAGTGGCATTGCGTTTGTGCTAGATATGTTTGGCAATTTTGTAGTGATTGTTGAAGCTTTGAGTGATTAAACTTGGGGTATAAATTGATCAATCATGTATTTGCACTTACATTATGCTGGTTTAGGGCTTCTACCTAAAAGAAAAAGGGAAAAAAAAAAAAAAAAAAAAAGCAAACACTTCAAACAGTGGGAAACTTGTATTGCTAGAAATAAAATTTGTGCTATCCAAGTAAATAAATGGATTGCATTTCTTTTACATATAAAAGAACAAAGATTGCCTAGCTTTGTATTTGTTTAGTGATTTTTGTCCTGGCTATCTTTGATTCATCACAATACCGAACATTTCTGCTGGACCTTTTCTTGTTGTTTGCATCTTACTTTCACTTTGGTGTGAAGTCCATTTTAAATTTGACAGTCTATTCTTGCAAGTGATTTGAGGCATCCACTATTGACTTATATCTTTTTAGGGCAGGTGTGTCCAACCGTTTGACCTTCCTGGGTCACATTGAAAGAAGAATAATTGTCTGTGAATATCCGCTGACTGCATTTCCGTAACAGACATTCATGAACAGATGTAAAAATCATGGATTTTACAAACTGTCTTTGAATTTAATGGCGGTTGGCAACTGTGTGGGGAGGTTGTGTGGGCAGGGGGCTTCAGGGGGAGCAACTGAAATCTGCGGGGAGGTGCAGCCTCCCTCAACATCCCCCCTCAAGTGGTATTTACTTGCCTGGCCGCTATGTAGAATCCCTGCTTTAGCTGTTTTACAAAGACGGCAACCCCGGCATCACTTTAGCTGTGCTCATTCCTGCTTTCTCTGCCACCAAGGCTTCTATGTAAATAGGTATACACAGCATCACCTGCAACCCTCCATATGTGCTAGCCGCCATAGCTTTTCTTGCACGGGGTTCTTCCACATATGCCCCGAGCCGTATGCTGAACTCTCCCAAGCCGCATGTGGCCCACGGGCGATGGGTTGGACACCCCTGCTCTCAGGGAACTTTTGTTCCAGTCTTATGTGCGTACACCTTCAGTTCTCTTTTGTGTTTTCCTTGTAGTCAAGGATGCCTAGTATTTTAAAGCAGCATTTTCTTGTACAATAAATAAGCATTGCTCTTCCTTCTGCAGAGAAACTGTTGCTGCCCAGTTGGACCTGGCAGTTACCAAAGCCGAATCAGAGCAGCTTGCTCGAGGGCTTCTAGAAGAACAATGTTTTGAGCTGTCTCAGGAGAATAAGAAGCTCTCTTCAAGAGTCAGGCAAGATGTCATAGAGAAGGACCATACCATCCGCAAGGTAACCCTGCTGTCTTTTGATATATATTGCTTAAGTAAACCAAACAGTAACTTTCTGATCTGCCTAAATTTTTGACATCACATTATTTAACATTATTATAAATAAATACACTGGGGGGGGGAATTTACTGGAACATACAGGATCTGTAGCTATGCCTATTAGCCAGTCAGCTTCTATCCTTAGCTTGTTCAATTAGGTTATGAAAATAAAAGCTAGAAGTTGATTGGTTACCATTCACAACTACTCCAGATTCTGGTCTACTGCAGGCAGGAGGAAGCATATCTATTTCCTCACCACTCATTGTGGAGAACCAAAATTCATGCTTTAAGATTCTTAGATGAATTGCACACTTTTAATTTCATAAACCCGGCTCCCACATAAATCCTTTAAGCTAATGATGAACCCATATTGCATTTTTTTTTTGTTCCTAATTGTATGAGACAAATTTTTGTAACTCTTCCACAATCTTTTTTTTTTTTATGTGTATTACATTATTGCTAGCTGGTCAATCCTAGTTTTGGGTCATCCCTATTTGTAACAAAGCTTCTATATTATATTACAGGGGTTCCATTTGTTTACCCTGAGACAGAGACCGTTATTGATTACAGGCCTTAAAGGTTAACTCCATCTACATGGAGAAAAAAAAAAAGCAAGTTTAAAAAAAAATATATAGCATATACAATTGCTACATAAACCATATCGTAATTTAATGCTACTAAAAATGATCTTTGCTTTTCAATCTGCAGCCACTGTAATTTTCTGCAAAATTCAATGCAGTATGGCAACCTGGAGGCCTTCTGTACACAACTGGTGTACAGAACTTCCTTAGAACTGTCATTCCCTACTTGTGTGATTGGATTAATAGGTCAGATTTTGCTCTTTCTCTGCAATAGAAATATCATTTTGATGAGATATTTCCAAGGGGTTAATTTCTATTGGATACAGATACTGCTACTTTTCTCTGTAAGTGCACCAGCTGAGTAATAATGAAAAAGTAATTCTCATTCATATTCACTGTGCGTTCCTATTGTGAACCTGCTGAGCTATCCTGTTGTGAAGCTGTCATTGAGCACCACCAACATTGGTGGCCAAGGCATTATCCACCCCACAGCGGTATGTATGCAAGAGGCGTCTATATGTGCAGCTGCAAATACCTCACCATTTTTACATTGGCTGTGCACAGGCAGGATATCTCAAGCATGTTTGAAAGGACCCTTTCTTTCAACAGTGGCTTTCTTCTTGCCACTCTTCCATAAAGGCCAGATTTGTGGAGTGCACAACTAATAGTTGTCCTGTGGACAGATTCTCCCACCTGAGCTGTGGATCTCTGCAGCTCCTCCAGAGTTACCATGGGCCTCTTGGCTGCTTCTCTGATTAATGCTCTCTTTACCTGGCCTGTCAGTTTAGGTGGACAGCCATGTCTTGGTAGGTTTGCAGTTGTGCTATACTTTTTCCATATTCGGATGATGGATTGAACAGTGCTCCGTCAGATGTTCAAAGCCTGGGATATTGTTTTATAACCTAACCATGCTTTAAACATCTCCACAACTTTATCCCTGACTTATCTGGTGTGTTCCTTGGCCTTCATAATGCTGTTTGTTCACTAATGTTCTCTAACAAACCTCTGAGGGCTTCACAGAACAGCTGAATTTATACTGACAATAAATTACACACAGGTGCACTCTATTTACTAATTAGGTGACTTCTGAAGGCAGTTGATTCCACTAGATTTTAGTTAGGGGAATCAGAGTAAAGGGGGCGGTGCTGAATACAAATGCACTCCACATTTTTCAGATATTTATTTATAAAAAATGTTGAAAACCATTTATCATTTTCCTTCCACTTCACAATTATGTGCCACTTTGTTTTTGGCCTAGCACATAAAATCCCAGTAAAAGAAAGTTACGTTTTTGGTTGTAACATGACAAAATATGGATAATTTCAAGGGGTATGAATACTTTCTCAAGGCACTGTATAATGTTTGGGAGGTAGCAAAAATGCTTTTTTTAATGTATGGGAGGTGTCAAAATTGTGCTTAATGTAGATAACTATCCTTGGCTTGTCTTTGCAGTTGGAAGAAACAAACGGCACATTAACCAAAGATGTCCAGACGTCAACAAAAGAAAATGGTGATCTGATTGAGAAGGTTAAGGCACTGGAAGAAGGTAGGTAATATGTAGGTAGTTATGAATTGATTTGCAGTAGTCATCTCTTGTATTTTACATCTTGATTCCAAAGTAAACCTCTGGATTCATAAGCCAATTATTTTTTATGTAGAATGTAAATTACCTTTTCAGCATGGCGTAGGCTTTAGAATGCGAGAAAATCTGCTGAATTTACCTTTATCTAGAGTTTATAGGATCAACAGCTACAATGAATATAAAAAGTCTACACACCCCTATTAAAATGTTTCTGTGATGTCAAAAAATGAGACAAAGATAAATCATTTCAGAACTTTTTCCACCTTTTAATGCAACCTATAAACTGTATAGCTCAATTGATAAACCAACCTCAATATTTTTTTGAGGGGGGGGGGGGGGGTAAATATAAAAAAACTAAATGTGGCAGCATAAGTGTGCACGCCCTCTTATAACTGGGGATGTAGCTGTGTTCGGAATTAAGCAGTCACATTCAAAATCATGCTAAATAGGAGTCAGTACACTCCTGCCATCATTTAAAGTCCTTTGATTAACCCCAAATAAAGTTCAGCTGTTCTAGTAGGTCTTTCCTGACATATTTTTTTAGTCGCATCCTACAGCAAAAGCCATGGTCCGCAGATAGCTTCCAAAGCATCAGAGGGGATCTCATTGTCTATCAGGGGAAGGGTACAAAAGAATTGCCAAGGCATTAGATATACCATGGAACACAGTGAAGACCGTCATCAAGTGGAGAAAATATGGCGCAACAGTGACATTACCAAGAACTGGATGTCCCTCCAAAATTTTTGAAAAGACGAAAAGAAAACTGGTCTGGGAGGCTGCCAAGAAGCTTACAGCAACATCAAAGGAGCTGTAGGAATATCTGGCAAGTACTGGCTGTGTGGTACATGTGACAACAATCTTCCATATTCTTCATATGTCTGGGATATGGGGTAGAGTAGCAAGACGGAAGCCTTTTCTTCTGAAGAAAAATATCCAAGCCGGGCTAAAGTTTACAAAAACACATCTGAATTCTCCCAATAAGCATGTAGGAAAATGTGTTATGGTCTGATGAAAGCAAGGTTGAACGTTTTGGCCATAATTCCAGAAGATATGTTTGGCGCAAAAACAACACTGCACATCACCAAAAGAACACCATACCCACAGTGAAGCATGGTGGTGGCAGCATCATGCTTTGGGGCTGTTTTTCTTCAGCTGGAACTGGGGCCTTAGTCAAGGTAGAGGGAATTATGAACAGTTCCAAATACCAGTCAATATTGGCACAAAACCTTCAGGCTTCTGCTAGAAATCTGAACATGAAGAGGAATTTCATCTTTCAGCATGACAACAACCCAAAGCATACATCCAAATCAAAAAAGGAATGGCTTCACCAGAAGAAGATTAAAGTTTTGGAATGGCCCAGACCTGAATCCGATTGAAAATCTGTGGGGTGATCTGAAGAGGGCTGTGCACAGGAGATGCCCTCGCAATCTGACAGATTTGGAGTGTTTTTGCAAGGAAGAGTGGGCAAATATTGCCAAGTCAAGATGTGCCATGCTGATAGACTCATACCCAAAAAGACGGAGTGCTGTAATAAAATCAAAAGGTGCTTCAACAAAGTATTAATTTAAGGGTGTGCACAATTATGCAACCATATTATTTTAGTTTTTTTATTTTTACTTCTTTCCACTTAAAAGATTTCAGTTTGTTGTTCAACTGAGTTGTACAGTTTATAGGTTACATTAAAGGTGGAAGAAGTTCTGAAATGGTTTACTTTTTGTCATTTTTTTACATCACAGAAATCTGGAATTTTAACAGGGGTGTGTAGACTTTTTATATCCACTGTATGCTGCTTTTATTTTTCTAAAAATATGAACAGCGCTCAGGTTATTATATATTATGACAAATCTCAAATCTCTTTAAAATCTCTTAGGCCTCGTTCACACCAAATGTGCAGAAAAACTCATGGAAACTGATGCGCCGATTTCACTGACATCTCTGCACCATGGTGTGAAGGAGCCCTTAAAGTGACATGCACTTAATCAAAATAGCTTGGTGCAAACATAATTTTAAAGTGCTCAAAAGTTATAAACTTTTAGTGCTATACCAATAATGCATGTGCAAACAAAGTCCAATACTGTACCTTATGCAGTTATTAATAAAGTGCACAGCTATGTGTCCAAAATATCCACATTCAAACGTGCTCCTGCTCTCCCCTCAAGTTGCTCACTCACCAGAGTTATAGGATTTGGTGGACTACTGGTAACAGATAATGCTCCTATGTACATCTGAAGGAGAAGCCTGTCATTTACAATAGAAAAAATGTATAAGTGAGCATGTCCACCCACTTAGTGTCAGGAATGAGTAGGTTGCGAGCTTACTGAACAGAACTAGTGCAATTGCTGGGCAGCTAGGCATGGGTCCTTTCCATTATATTCTCTTCCTAATGTTTTGTCTTAAAAAAAAGCAGTTTCCTAATAACTATTCTGCTCATTGGATCAAATGTAATTTGTATATCCAGTCAATATTTTTTTTTATGTTTACCTTGGTACACAGTGCTCATTACAAAGTAAATTGAATGCTATTGTATTTTTCCTGTGTAATAAAAAAGCAGAAACCACAATTGGCTCTCTATTGTTGTAGTGTATATGTTAGATATTTGTCACCTCGTAATATATGTATTCTTTGTATGTTAGAGTTTAAGGTGAAACAAGAGGAAATTAGTGCCATGAAGATTACGTATGAGAAGAATATTAACACTGAAAGAACACTTAAGACCCAGGTAAATCTGACTTATATTTTATGGATGCAGCCTTCAGTGATTGTTTTGGAGGTACAGCTGTCCCTGAATCTGTTAATAGCCCATTCTCTCACAATGATACTTTAGCCCTTCCTTTGCTCCGCAACCACCCTGTTAACCTGCTGTAGTACGTAGTAGAGTGGGAAGCTCTGTGTGCACCACCACATAAGTGTGCTCTAGACTGGTAATAAGCAAATCAAGTGGCAAGCACTGCATCATGGTTGTGCACTTCAAGGACATCAAAAGGCAGACAGGGGGAGGGGAAGAGTATCATATTTTAAAGTTACTAAAGTGGACCTGAACTCAAAAAGGAAATGTTTGCTGTAATATAGGGAACATCTACAAGTGTTAATTTTTATTAAGCAATATTCTGAAAAATCTAACATTAGTCTAGAATTCCTCCTATAAGTAGCAGTACACTTTCTGGCTTGTAGGGGTGCCTAGGCCCTCCTGAACCTACAGCCTCATAGCTCTGTATCAGTAGTGTGAGATTCAAGGCACTTCAATTGTGACTACTAGTCTTTAGGAGACCAGATTGAGATTTGGTGATGTTACTACTGTGCTGCTTACTAAAGCAAGACCACAGGCAAGAGTTCTCCTTTACATTCTGCTTGTCCTATTTTGGGCACAGCTTCCAGAGTTCAGTTCCTCTTTAACCTCCCTGGCGGTATGATTATTTCAGATTTTTGGTGCTGAAAGCGGTACCATTATTTTGCATGGAAATTTGGCGTTTTATATTGTAGGCTGTAATTTTTAGGAGTAACTCACTGAAATCTGTCCGAACAAGAGTCTAGTAAACATCCCGGGTATGTTAAAATTTGAAACACGAAATCATAAATTATAATTTAATGAATAATCATAAAAAAATAATATAAATTTAATTCAATAATATCAAACCAAAAACACTGAAATTTAAAATATAGCACCAAGTTCGCACATCACTGATCTTAGTTGCAAAATCTTTTTCAGTGTCTGATGACGAATTTCCCCACAAATCATCACTCAGTTCTTCAAGTAGTTCTAATTTACTATCGCTGTTCTCTAGCTGGTCTAAAACCGCTTTTGACATAAAGGGACGCTTTTTGGACGCCATGGACGTTTCTCAGTTTCCAGGCAAAAAGAACAGTAAAAATGCAGGCAGGACAAAGCACTAGGGACAAAATGTATGTGAAATGGTTTGATACAGTAATCTTTTACTATGTGATTTTAGTGAATGTCACTTTTTGTAATTTTCAAATTTCCCACCAGTTCTTTTATACTGTACATCTCTTGAACATTTGGGAGAGTTAACCTATGCTGAAGGAGTCTTTTTTTTTTTTTTTTTTCCCCCCCCCAGTAACATCAGAGTCTTCTTGCGTGTATAGTTGAGTTGTGCTTTAATTCGTGTTTTTTGTGTATTACTGCCACTTTTACAGGGCGCTAAGCACAGTGTGCCCTAAAACATAAATGTTCCTACAGAACTCTACCTTGCACTACTTTTATAATACATCTATTCAGTATGCTAAATGTTCACACAATGTTTGTATACTTGGTATCAATTACTAATGAAGTGCATTTGGAAACAATTATGTTTCAGGCTGTAAATAAACTGGCTGAAATTATGAACAGGAAAGACTTCAAACTGGACAGAAAGAAAGCGAACACACAAGATTTGAGAAAGAAGGAGAAAGAAAACCGGAAGCTGCAGTTAGATCTTAACCAGGAGAAGGAGAAGTACAATCAAATGGCTATGAAGTTCCAGAAAGAGATAGAGGAGACATTATTGGTAATCTCTTTTGTTCCTGGATGTTGTATTCGCTGTTGTCTGAAGTTTAATGAGACGTGATTCCTTATTTCGATAGAGTGTGTAAATTAACAGTCAATCAGAGTTAACTCTGCAGACGTAAGATCAGTATATGATTAATCTAATTGGGGTGGGTTTGATGCTCTTGATACAGTCTGTGGTCACAATGAATTGGGATATAATTAGATCTTAAATTTGTAAATGTTTTGGGGTTTCCCTTTGATGATACAGTAATGTAAATTCAGCTGGCCATACACAGCAGGCTGAGAAATACGCATGGAGGGACAAATCAGCAGTGCCTGCTATTGTATTGAGACAGCCAGCATCTGTCAAAATACAAAGTGCTTCTTTGATTTTTCAGCTTAAGAGTGTCGGGTGGGAGTGCCAACAAAGCTACCCACAAAAGGATTTGGCCTTTCTTTTTCCAGGAACCAGAAAAAATTCAAATGCTGTACTCTTTTTCCTTATTGCATCTCTAAGTTGAAAAAAAAAAGAGCTCCTTATTATAATAGTGGGAAACCTAGCCATCTCCATCTGGTGAATCTTCCCATGTTTCATTTTCCAATTTCCCATTCCACATAGGTTTCTCTAAGAGAATCTCTTCTGATCCATCTTTCCTGCCCTCTACCCTTTCCTACCCCAAGAGTAAGAAATGTAACAAAAACGTCATGGGTGCAATAGGGGTCCCTGCTCATCTGATTTTGGTCATACATTATATATGTAAATTGTAGAATACTCTTATGTTGTAAGACACTTGTCAACACTGTTATCTTGTATTGACACACGTAACTCTAATTTAACCACTTAAGGACTGCCCGCCTGCAGTGTTCTGTGGACGGGTGTCCCGTACAGGCACAGCAACATACTTGTATGTCGCTGGGCTCTTCCAGGTATGGGGCGCGCACTCCTGCCTGCCGACTCCCTCTGTGATTAGACACAGTGGGATTTTTTCAGCAGGTCCCAGACACTGATTCATGGCCAGAACCTGCTGATCGGCTGTGTCCAATCACAGTCCAGATCCCTGTGTTGACATTTAACACAGGGCTCTGTACAGAGCGGAACAATTTATGTATCTTCTCCTTGCAAAGGTTTTTTTTGAAGATTTATTTAACCTTCATTGTAGTCCTGAAACCCCAAACCTTAAGTTTTATATAGCTTTTAACATAGACAGTAGACTGTAAAATTACCAAAACATTGATTTCTATTTTGTAGCAACTTACTGAGGAAAGCATCTACAAGAATGAGCTTCAGATGCAGCTAGACAGCAAAGATAGTGACATTGAACAGCTACGTGCTAGACTGGCAGAGTTACAGCTCCGTATGGACTCTACAAGTGTTGCCAGTTTGCAGCCAGACGAAGCAGATGGCATGATAGGTGGTAAGTGCTGAAAATATTCCTTTCTAACAATCTCTGATATGTATGTATGTTTAAATCTACTGGTTGTCAGATATAAATAACTTTTGTTTAAACATTTTTGTTTCATGGCTGAAAATAGAGATCATCATCCTTGTGTTAAAAACTTTTGAATTGAGCATTTTTTAGGTGTAATAAGGTGCAAAGTATTAAATGCATGCTGCTTATCTCCATCAGTGATATGAGGGGCTGGGGGGGAATGATTACCTTTTCTTTGGTACTGCATCTTGATATGGAGACCTCATTTTAGTATGAGGCACTAAAAGCTTGGTTTTAGGGGAATGGAGATTATATCTCTTCTGCAGAGTCTGAGATCTCTAAAAACTTGTAAATCTAGTCCGGATATACAGTCATGGCCGAAATATATTTCTCCAGGAAATCATTATTTCTCACGAAACGTATTGCATTAACACATTGGATTCCCTTTGTGTGTATTGGGACTCTAGACATTTTTGGGCTTGTCACTGCTCTGTCAAGTATTGATGCTCCTGTAAACTCACCTGGGGCAAGTAACAGGTCCCTGGGCAATATAGAAATCACACCTGAAAGCAGATAAAAAGGAGAGACGTTCACTTAACCTTTGCATTGTGTGTCTGTGCCACACTAAGCAGGACAACAGAAAGAGGAGACGAGAACTGTCTGGGACTGGAGAACCAAAATTGTGGCAAAATATCAAAAATGTTTTACAATATTCCAGCTAGATTTGCCTTTGAAAGTATTATCAAGAAGTTTGCATTTTTGAGGAAAATTGATGAAAGATTGCAATGCAGAATAGTCCGGATGGTGGATAAGCAGCCCCAAACATGTTCCAAAGACATTCAAGCTGTCTGCAGGCTCAGGGAGCATCAGTGTCAGCGCGAACTATCCGTCGACATTTAAATGAAATGAAACGCTATGGCAGGAGACCCAGGAGGACCCCACTGCTGACACAGAGACATAAAAAAGCAAGACTACAGTTTGCCAAAATGTACTTGAGTAAGCCAAAAGCCTTCTGGGAAAACGTCTTGTGGACAGATGAGACCAAGATAGAGCTTTCGGTAAAGCACATCATTCTACTGAAAAACGGAATGAGGCCTACAAAGAACAAAACACAGTACCTACGGTAAAATATATTCAATGATGTTTTGGGGTTGTTTTGCTAGCTCTGGCTCTGGGTACTGTGTGCAAGGCATCATGAAATCTGAGGATTACCAAAGGATTTTGGGTCGCACTGTACCCAGTGTCAAAGATCCTGGGTCTTTCCAGCAGGACAATGACCCCAAACATACGTCAAAAAGCACTCAGAAATGGATGGCAAAGAAGCGCTGGAGAGTTCTGATAGCCCAGATCTAAATCCCATTGAACACCTGTGGAGAGATCTTAAAATTGCAAAAGGTGTCATAAGAGAGACCTGGAGCTGTTTGCAAAGGAAGAGTGGTCCAAAATTCCGGGTGAGAGGTGTCAGAAGCTTATTGATGGTTATTGGAAGCGACTGATTTCAGTTATGTTTTCCAAAGGGTGTGCAACCAAATATTAAGTTAAGGGTGCCAATGCCCTCCCATTTTTGGGGTTACAGTCAATTTGCTTTTCTGCCTCTGTTTTATATTTGTTCCAATACATACAAAGGGAATAAACATGTGTATAGCAAAACATGTGTTAATGCAATACCTTTTTTGTGTGAAATACTTGATTTTCAGGAAAAATATCAAGGGTGCCAACAATTTCGGCCATTATGTATATACAGTTTAAATTGGATCTCTAGACCATTTTTGTTGTCACCTCTGTCAAGTATTTGGTGTCTGCTTTACCTTAACTGAGACCAGTTTTGGCTGGAGTTCAATCTTAAAAATGTTTAATATAGCAGCTACCTTCATGAAATATGATTTTTAAAGCCTGGTGTACTTATCACATAACTCATCTTGATGTTTCAGTTGTATGCAAAGACTAGATGAGACTGGTTTGAGTAACACCCAGATTGTGCAACATATGTGAAAATAGCATTACTAATTACTGACTCAGATTTCCGTTTCAGGTGAAATAGATGTCTGTATAATATGACTAAAAAGTCAACATTTCTAGACTGAAATACCATGCAGTTATATCGAAGTTTTGTAAATGTTTTTGTATATTCACATCATTCCTGCCCTCAAGGAGCTTACAGTCTAAAGTCCCTAACTCAAATTCATACATGCACATGCTAGTTTTAGACAGCCAATTAACCTATGTGCTTGTGAAGTACTTAGAGGAAACTCAGTAGAATATGCAAACTCCATGCAGGTAATACTTGGTTAGGATTCAATCTGACACCCCTATAATGTGTATATATATATATATATATATATATATGTATTTTTCTTTATATATTTGATTGTTTAACTCCAATGCCACAGTAACACTTATATGGGCTTTAAACCTGGGCGCTGCAAATATGTGTTCTTTTATTTGTGCTGGGAGCACACTCTCAGCACAGAGCCCAGAGTTTCATAATAACAATCAGGACACGGGACTCCCAGTTCCTGATCACCTGATTGCTATGATAGGCTCTGATTGACTTTCACAGTGATCAGTCACTGTGTAGCCTGCCTCTGTGTTTTCTTTCTCTTCTGATTGGAGAGAAAGATACATTGTGTAAACAACCAAAAGTGTGTAAAAATAAAGTAAGTTCATGTACTTGACCTTTATTTCTTACATGATTGAACTTTATTAAGATGAATATTGGGTATGTACCTTTTTCCTGTTGTACAGGTGAAACTCGAAATATTAGAACATCGTGCAAAATTTCATTTATTTCAGTAATGCAACTTAAAAGGTGAAACTAATATATGAGATAGACTCATTATATACAAAGCAAGATAGTTCAAGCCGTGATTTGTCATAATTGTGTTGATTATGGCTTACAGCTCATGAATACCCCAAATCCACAATCTCAGAAAATTAGAATATTACATGCAATCAATAAAACAAGGATTGTACATAGAACAATATCGGACCTCCGAAAAGTATAAGCATGCATATGTACTCAGTACTTGGTTTGGGTCCCTTTTGCAGCAATTACTGCCTCAATGCGGCATAGCATGGAAGCTATCAGCCTGTGGCACTCACTTCTGAGGTGTTATGGAAGACCAGGATGCTTCAATAGCGTCCTTAAGATCTTCTGCTTTGTTCGGTCTCATGTCTCTCATCTTTCTCTTGGTAATGCCCCTTAGATTCTCTATGGGGTTCAGTTCAAGCGAGTTTGCTGGCCAATCAAGCACAGTAATCCCATGGTCATTGAACCAGGTTTTGGTACTTTTGGCAGTGTGGGCAGGTGCCAAGTCCTGCTGGAAAATTAAGTCAGTATCCCCATAAAGCTCATCTGAGGAAGGAAGCATGAAGTGCTCCAAAATCTGGTAGATGGCTGCGTTGACCCTGGACTTAATGAAGCACAGTAGACCAACACCAGCAGATGACATGGCTCCCCAAATCAACACAGACTGTAGAAACTTCACACTGGACTTCAAGCGTCTTGCAGTGTGTGCCTCTCTCCATTCTTCCTCCATACTCTGGGTCCTTGGTTTCCAAATGAGATGCAAAAGTTGCTCTCATCAGAAAAGAGGACTTTGGACCACTGAGCAACAGACCAGGTCTGTTTTTCTTTAGCCCAGGTAAGATGCTTCTGACGTTGTTTGTTGTTCAGGAGCGGCTTGACAAGAGGAATACGACATTTGAAGCCCATGTCCAGGATCCGTCTGTGTGTGGTGGCTCTTGATGCACTGACTCCAGCCTCAGTCCACTCCTTGTGAAAGTCCCCAACACTTTTGAATGGCCTTTTCCTGACAATCCTCTCCAGGCTGCGGTCATCCCTGCTGCTTGTGCACCTTTTTCTTCCACACTTTTCTCTTCCACATAACTTTCTATTAATGTGCTTTGATATAGCACTTTGGAAACATCCAACTTCTTTTGCAATTACCTTTTGAGGCTTTCTCTCCTTATGGAGGGTGTCAATGATGGTTTTCTGCACAACTGTCAGGTCAGCAGTCTTTCCCATGATTGGGATTCCTACTGAACCAGACTGAGAGACCATTTAAAGGCTCAGGAACCCTTTGCAGGTGTGGCTATGGTGGTTATGGCTTAATTAGCTGATTAGAGTGGGACACTTTGAGCCTAGAATATTGCACCTTTTCACAATATTCTAATTTTCTGTGATTGTGGATTTGGGGTTTTCATGAGCTGTAAGCCATAATCATCAGAACTATGACAAATCACGGCTTTGCATGTAAGGAGTCTATCTCATATATTTCACCTTTTAAGTTGCATTACTGAAATAAATGAACTTTTGCATGGTATTCTAATTTTTCGAGTTTCACCTGTATACTATACGTTATGTTGGTATGCTGTTCTTGCAGTCTATTCCTTAATTAAAAAAAATGTTTGTAAACCATAAAAATAAATAATAAACAATATAGAAAAAAAAAACAGCTAGATCAATGCCTGATCTAGGTCAGGGTTAGTTTTTGTATCGAGGTAAGGGTTAAAGGTCAATGCCAGGGTCAGTATATTTTAGGTAAGATTTTCAAAAACCGTTTTCTTTTTAAAGCTAGTATTGGTGTTAGTGGGTTTTAGGCAGGATAAAACATTAAAGCAATACTAAAGGTTAATTTTTTTTTTTTTGTAAAATAACCAACATGTTCTACTTACCTGCTGTGTGCTATGGTTTTGCACAGAGCAGCCTGGACCCTCCTCTTAGGTCCCCTGCCAGAGGTTGCTGTGCACATTGCTGGATCGCGAAGGGTCTCGGGTAAGTATTGAGGGGACTGGGGGCACTGCTGCAAACAAAAGGTTTTTTACCTTCATGCATAGAATGCATGAAGGTAATAAACCTTGAGCCTTTACAGCCATTTTAAATCAAACCATGTACTCTGTTTCTGGGTCCTACTACAGGTACATACAACAAATAACATACACGTGTGTAGTATCACTGCAACCAAGAGCAGGAGATTTTATTGTGGGTTGTTGTTTGGTGGTGTCCCTAAGCACAAGAAAGCACCGGGGATCTTACACTTCAGAACACAGGAGCTGCTATACTTCTGTGTTCCTAAGGCATGAGGACCAGTCAGCCCTATTGACTTCCAACTAGTAACTTGGTTTTGATAAACAGTATTATACAAAAGTTTTAGGCAGGAATGAAGAAATGCTGTAAAGTAAGAATGCTTTCAAAATTTATGCATGTTCATCAGGTTACAAAATGCAAAGTGAGCAAACAGAAGAAAAATTTAAATCAAATCAATATTTTGTGTGAATACCCCCTTGGCTTTAAACCAGCATCAATTCTTACATTTGCACACTTTCTACACTTGCACAAAGTCAGGGATTTTGTATGATTAGAGTCAGGTTTATGATTAGCCAGTTTTACCAAGCAGATGCTAATGATCATCAATTTCACATGTAGGTCAAAACAGTCATTAACTTAAACAGAAACCGCTTTGTAGGAGGCTTAAACCTGGATGAGGAACAGACAGACACTGCTACTAAGTTGAGGTTTTGGAAGATGTTTCATGTCACAGGTCATACATCATGGCAAGACTGAGCACAGCAGCAGTACACAAGTTATACTGCATCAGCAAGGTCTCTCCCAGGCAAAGATTTCAAAGGAGACTGAGGTTTCAAGATGTGCTGGTCAAGCTCTTTCAAAGAAGCACAAATAAACAGGCAATGTTGAAGACCATAGATATAGTAGTTGACCAAGGAAACCTCATGGAGCAGATGAAAGACACATCATGCTTTCTTCCCTCAGAAGATGTACAGCAGTGCCCTCCGCGCAGAACTGTCAGAAACCAGCGAGACCCAGGTACACCCAACTATTGACCTGTGAAGTCTGGCCAGAAGTGGTCTTCACAGAAGAATTGCAGCCAAAAATCCATACCTTCAAAATGGAAACAAGGTTAAGCAGTTGAACTGTGTTTGAGAACATAGGAACTGGGTGCAGAAAATGGCAGCAGGTGCTCTGGACTGATGAGTCAAAATTTGAAATGTTTGGCTGTAGCAAAAGGCAGTTTTGTTAGCCTAAGGGCTGGAGTGTGGTACAATGAGTGTCTGAAGGACACAGCGAAGCATGGTGGAGGTTCCTTGCAAGTTTGAAGCTACATTTCTGCAAATGGAGTTAGAGATTCCATCAGGATCAATGGTGTCCTCAGTGCTGAGAAATACAGGCAGATACCTATCCATCATACCATACCAACAGGGAGGCATGTGATTGGCCCCAAATTGATTCTGCTGCAGGATAATGCCCCCAAGCATACAGCCAATATCATTAGGAACTATTCAGTGTAAAGGAGAACAAGTTTGGCCCCCGCAGAGCCCTGATCTCAACATTATCAGGTCTGTCTGGGATTACATGAAGAGACAGAAGGATTTGAGGAAGCCTACATCCACAGATTCTGTGGTTAATTCCCCAAGATTTTGGGAACAACCTACCTGCTGAGTTCCTTCAAAAACTTTGTGCAAGTGTACCTAGAGGAATTGATGCTGTTTTGAAGGCAAGGGGAGGTCACACAAAATGTTGATTTGGATTTATCTTCTGTTCATTTTGTTAATTGATTAAAAAAAAAATTTACTAACACTTCTATTTCTGAAAGCATTCTTAATTTACAACATTTTTTCACAGGCTTTTTGCTGCCTAAAACTTTGCACGGTAGTGTATATTCAGTCGGTGGCAATGTTTTAAAGGGTTTTATATCTTGTTTTCTAATAATCATCCTATTCATTTACTGTTAGAACAAAGCAGTTTCTAAATATGAGATATGAACATACATGCTAATTTTATCAATAATGGAAACAAATCTGTGTGTGGAAAACACATCTTTGTGTTTCAGTATCTTCTGTTTCACTTTGTTAGCATTCAGTGGTGTTGCTGGACCATCATTTCGTAGGTGTGTGTGTGTGTGTCATTGCAGTGCTTATTTTGGTTGGGGGGAATGTGACGGGTTACCTTGTACTGCTGGGACCCAGTTACTAGCAGAACTAGGCATGTTGTTAACTGACAGATGACTAGTATGCTTACCTGTGACACAGATCAAGTTTTATATGCAGAGGAGCTCTTCTTCCCACTAAATAAACTGTTTGTCTCTTATTCTCCGTTTAGTTGAGTCTACCTGCATTCCTTATTTCTTTCTCTCCTATTCTTGTCTTCTGTGAGTAAATGGAACTGCCTGTTACTAGTGGCCGGCTTTTCAGACAGCTTAATGCACTTCCAGCTTTCAGATTTGATTTCTGGCCTTTGATTCAGTTGTGCTCGTATTTTTTTTTACTTTTGCCTTGGATATATTGTCTTGGTTTTTAAAACACTCTTCATGTTCAACTTGAATCACTATCTGCAAGTTTTTTTCTGCTTGTGGGCATGAAGTGTTTGAGAGCCCAGTGTACATCTCTGCTATCTTTCTTGCCATGCCTTTCCATTCTGCATGTCCCAGTATCCCGCACAAAGCTCTGGCTGCATGGTGACTTGTACAAATGACTAAACAGAACATCATCTGTTTGTAGAATCCGAATCAAGAATTGAAGGATGGCTCTCTATACCCAACAGAGGGAACATTAAAAGGCATGGATGGAAGAAACAGGTTTGTGAACAGTGAAGTATTTCAGAAGTTATTCCTTACAGGCTTATTTATTCTAAGGAATTGTTATCAGATCACATTATCTAGGTGCAGTTACCAGTAGCAACCAGTGAGCTTTCAGTTTGCCATAGGCACTTTAGGGAAGGATCTGTTTTATTGGTTTTCTATTACTTTTGATATTCCATAAATATTCACGGTAATATCATCTACAGTAATACAATTCAAAGCAACATGTTCATTTGCATATTCTATATTTAAAATACAAGTCCTCCCAAAGCTGATAACTGTTGCAGTTACATTTAAAATGGTATGAAAAAGTTGAATGTAAATGTCTTACTATGAGATTTGCTGTAAATCATTCCCTACACCACTTCAAAATCCAAGGCACAGGCAGCAAAGAAAAAATACTGCTATCTGTGTGGAAGCAGCAGTATCTCTGCAGTGGTCTGACATCCCCTCCTCTCCAAGTCAGAGTTCTAGCTCTTCCATTAGCAGGTAGTGTAAGCTTTGGTGGAGAAGTTGCTGAATTTTCATAATTGCAGAGTACCCTATTTACCACCTCTTCTTCTTTTTCGCCATGCAGAGAGGTTATAGAAAACCTTGGTGCTTTACTTTGGAACTTTGTGCATTAGTATACATAAAACCGGTAACCTTAGACTATAGCTTGCACTGTCTGACCATATCTGGCTCAGTCACCTGTTTCTGCCAACATGACCCTGAACAGAAGCATTCATCTTGATCAAGTGCTGAGGTTTAAAGGGAACTTATAAAGATAAAAAATATATGTTATGATTGCTGACTTGCTCTTGCAGGTCTGAGCTCTAGGGCTGTCATTCTTGGTTTAATACTTAGTAAGTCACTAAAGTGGAACATGTTTGTGTTTACCAGATACATCTTTTCGTACATCCTTGTTAGGTGACTCGGGTACATGAAGTAAGGATCATAGCACTGAGCTTACCAGAACTGTTGAAGATTATTTTGTGAAGTTTCCTAACATCATACCTTTGTTTACTTTCATATTTTAAAAGTTATTTCTCTCTTTATAGTATGTCGTGGTTAGCAGTAAAAAGATTCTGTTTTACGAAGATGAGCAGAATAAAGAACAGTCCAACCCATCAATGGTACTAGACATAGAGTAAGTTTGTTTTGTGTTTTCTGTTCTTTCCTGTCACTCAGATGTGTCATAAAGCTTAAGGCAGTTGTAAAGTCAAATTTTTTAAAAAAATAATAAACATGTTATGGGTAGCTGCTATGTGCAGTGGTATTGCACAGAGCCACCCTGAACCCCCTCTCTCAGGGTCTCCCACTGGCGCTCTTTTCAGTTCCTCCTCTGTGTCTGCCCCAAGGCAAAATGTTTGCTATGGGGGAAGATGATGCTTGCTCCCAATTCAGGCTGTGTGCCTCCATAGACGCACACAGTGCACCTTCAGGTTGATGGTGTATCTAAACCTTCTAGTACACCTAACACAACCCTCCCCCCTCCAGACAGACAGTGCTGCCTTCCACAGGTGTCTCTGTTGCTCCTTCATCCAGAGTGGGGATACTCTAATACAAGAGATGTGTTACTGGCCAGATCACCATGTGAAAACAGGGGAAAAAGCTTTAAAAAAAAAAAATGCAGCCACCACATCTGCAAATTGGAAAGCTGCAATTTTGTTTTGGGTTTAACACCACTTTAAGGTGTTGTAAGCTGCAATATATTACATTTTTATTTACGGTTTACCCAACAAAAGCTTTTTTTTTTTTTTTTTTTCAATTCTGGTCAGCTACTTTCACTCATCTCTTGCATAGTACACAGCCAGATAGGTGGCACGTTTGTTTCCTGATGGCATGTGATCCTCCAGCCTAATCATTAGAGAATACATATTTATCATCACCTCTCTCCAGTAAGCAGGGGCTGGCCCTGGATACAATAAAAGTAAACCAGGAAGTAGCAGAATTAATATAATGACTGGCAGTGAAGTATCAGAAGAATGGCTGCTAAAAAATGCAAATCCTTTTGCATGTAAAACTATAAAAATATATACATTCCAACTGTGTATTTAGGTCTTTCAATTCACTTAAAAAGAAAAAACAAAAAAAACCTTCCAATTAAATGTTTCCGTTTTGTGTTTTCAGTAAGCTTTTTCATGTCCGCCCTGTTACACAAGGAGATGTTTACAGAGCAAATACTGATGAGATCCCGAAGATATTTCAGGTAAACATTAATGACTGTCACTAAGTAATGTAGCAAAAGGTAGACGTAAGTTTGCTTGTTAGATGATTTCTTGGTGTAAAACTGCCATTTCCTCTTCTGCAGATACTGTATGCCAATGAAGGGGAATGCAGGAAAGACCAGGAATTGGAACCAGTACAGCAAGCTGAGAAGACCAATTTCCTTAGCCACAAAGGACACGAGTTCATCCCAACACTCTACCACTTCCCCGCAAATTGTGAGGCTTGTTCCAAGCCTTTGTGGCATGTTTTCAAGCCACCCCCTGCACTGGAATGCCGGAGGTGCCATGTTAAGTGCCATAAAGACCACTTGGATCGAAAGGAGGAAGTCATCGCCCCTTGTAAAGGTTAGTATAGAGACTAGGATGTGTAAGCTAAATTTATGCATTTTAAAATATACTTTATATGTTTGGATAAGTTCCTAATATGGCCTGTAAATGTTCAAAGATCACAATGCAGCCTATCACTGCAAAGAACCTGTAATGAGAGAAATACTGGGGCTACTGTTGCTGACTTTGACTTCTGAAAATGCTAGTACAAGTGTCAAAAAGTATCTGTTCTGAGTTTGAAAGTATTAACCACTTCAGCCCCAAGCCATTTCTGGCACTTGCTAACATTTCAAAATCAGTAGTTTTTGATAGAAAATGTCTTAGAACCCCCAAATATTTTATATATATATATAAATTATTTTTTTTATTACTTTATTTTAAAGCAGAGGCCCTAGAAAATACCTTGTTGGTGGGTTTTGCATTTTTTAAATCTCAAACAGTATTTGCGCAATGGTTCTTTAAAACACAATTTTGGGGAAAAATACACTTTTTTTCTATTTTTATTGGGGAAAAAATAAACAAAATACATAACCCAATTTTTTTTTGTAAAATATAAAAGATGGTGTTACGCTGAGTAAAAAAACCTGTCACGCTGTAAAATTGCACACGCCCTTGCAACGGCAACAGACGGCGTAATTTTACTATTCTTGGGCACCCTTTAAAAGCCTTTACAGATTACCACTTTAGATTTACAGAGGAGGTTTAGTGGTAAAACTACTGCCCATGACCTGACTATTGCAGTGATACCTCACTTGTGTGGGACAATCGCTGTTTGCATGCAGGACTGACCTTCGCTCATGAGCACGGAGGGGGGTCCTTTTAAAATGTGTGTGTGTGTGTGTATATATATATATATATATATATATATATATATTTTAACACTGTCACTTTAAAAAAAAATTCTATCTTTTTATTTTATTGCTATTACAAGGAATTGAAACATCCCCTGTGACAGCAGTAGACATGATGTGACAGGTATTTTTATGAAGGGATCTGTGGTCCGAGACCCCCAAATCCCTCCTCTGCACTTGAAAGCATTCAAAACACCAAGATCAGTGTTTTTGAATGCTTTCAGATTTTTAAAAATGGTGCTGAAAGTTTTCAAGTAAACCAGAAGTGATGTCAATTCGCTTGGGACTCCCAGTGGGACAGGTGATCCCAAGACTACTGAAGGTGGGGGGATGTCCCTTCCCACTGCTTGTACATGCAATCGAGCGGCTGGTAGCTTGTACAAGAGATCTGATTGCCAGCTCTAAAAGATGGTACCGGGGTGATGTCTACAGCTGCAGGCATCACTCCAGTACAACCACAGAAAGTCCAGCAATGTACGGGTACTCCGCTGGTCAGGAAGTGGCTTAAAGCAAGAGAGCTAGCAAGGTAGCCAGGGAACTAGCTTCTATAGAAGAGCTCAGAAATGGTAGGTTCCATGTTTTTTTTCCCTTTTACAGGCTTTTTTTAATTTTTCACGTATTCTAGAAAGTGCATTTCTTGTAGGTTTTAATGAACTGTGTATGCTGCGTCACTTGAATTACATTCACCCATAAGTTATTGGATTAGTCTTAGGTCTACAGTTTCCTCACATTCACCTTTCTCCAGGATGGTGCTATATGGATTATTTCTTGCACAGGGCAATATAAACCTTTTCCATCAATAGTATCAGCAACCGCTACTCAAAAATGCTGCTTGTATATCAAGTTCACATATATAGATTGCTCAGCCTTTTCATTTCAAAAGGTCAGTCCATCCAAACTTGATATTTTCTTTGTTGATACTAAAGAGATAAGTTGCTTAATTGCGTTAAAGAAGAACTCTGGGATAGGCAACAAAAATCACCCATTTGTACACCCTCCTACACAAAAACACTAAACCGTTCAAGTGGTAGTCATTTCTCATATGTTATTTTTACGTACAGGTAAGTTTATGATACAGCTTACCTGTAGGTAAAATGAACGTGCACCATTTCGGAGATGATATAGCGAGCAGCAGCTGGTGACATCACCGTTGCATGGGCTCTGAATGAATGTTACAGGTATGCTGTTCCTTCAGAGCTCTGTGTCGCGATTGAGATGTCCTTGCGGGTGTGCCAATCAAGCAGCTGCAGCCTACGAACCCAGAAGGAAGAACAGATGAAGATGGAAGCCTCTGCAACTCTGAAAGCATGCCACTGGAGAACTTTGTTTTAAGGCATGTCCTTCATAATGTGCTAGTATGCGATGCATACTAGCACAATATGCCTTTGCCTTGCAGGGGAAATTTTTTTTTTTTCCTGTTTGCTAATGCTTTAATAACATTTTGAAAACCCTTACTATTTAGGAGAAAAGTCTAATTGAATTTTCATGACCTCGTCTCCATAATTCAAAAGATTACAGAATCTGCTCTGCCAAGGTGGAGGTGTAACAGCTGGGATTACATCATATCCTCTCCTCTCTCTCTGCAATAAAAGGAAACTACAGTTCCAATCAACCACAGGGAATTGTAGTGAATGTGGGCAGATACAATAGTCCTGTACATGTTGAATGTGTCTGAGTGTCCCAGTCTGCCCACCACTTAATTTGGACTGCATTACATCACTGCTTCCTGGAGAAAACTACAGAAAGGATGTGCCAAAACCAGAGAATGGGGGGAATAGGAGGCACAGCAGTCACTGGTCTTACAAACAGGAATCCAAAGAGAATTAACAGATTGATTTGAAAATGAAAAGGCTATTTCAGAACAACTGAGTGAGCCAGAAGATGGATGACCTATTCAGTGAAGTTAGGAAATCAGTAACGGACATGTAAAGAAGTTTTTGCCCAGAGTTCTGCTTTAATTAAATTATCAGCTGAGCAGCAAAGCAGTATATTTAAATGTAAAGTACAGGGGAAAACAGCCTTGTGCACCAATACTCACATCAAGTCATTAGCTGTTACATTTCAATAATCCTCTGTGCATTGCATTGCTGCTCTTCATAGTCTCATTCTTGTGTGCATTTATATTGTTGGCCTAAGCAGGGCTGAAATACAGAGAAGTGACTGCAGGGGAGTGAAATTCTGGGTCCCTAGCAGTAGCAGGACTATTTGTCTCTATCATGCATTGACTTTTTATACCCTTTGGGAACCCATTAGTGAGATTTATGTGCTCGAATAGCATGGTTTTACACACCTGCTGTGGACTTTTACATCGAAGGCCTGTTCCCCTTATTGAATTTTTTCTCTTTTGTGATATAAAGAATGCAACAGGGGAAAGGCATCACCAAAGTCTCCAAGATGAGCAAAAAAAAAGGCAGTTGTAACGATTATGACATTAATTCCACAAGAGGTATAAGTAGACAGCAGGTGACCGATTCCACTCATAATAGCCGTGTTACTTTTTAAGACTAACTTTCTATTGGGTGTTGTGACCTCTTGCTAATGTTTTATGTTTGTTTTTTGACAGTGAGCTATGATGTGACATCTGCAAGGGATTTGCTTTTATTGGCCTGCTCTCAGGATGAGCAGAAAAAATGGGTGACACATTTAGTAAAAAAGATACCTAAAACCCCACCATCAAACTTCGTCCGTGTTTCCCCAAGAACAATGTCTACTAGGTCAACAAACCAGTCCTTCAGAAAGCCCCCTAAGTCTGGGTCAGGGAAAGCCAGGTAAGAGCACAGCTGCATAGATTCTATATATACCTTGCATAGGGCTTTCAAGTGGCTGATTGCATTCAGAATTGTATAGTGTATGCATATAATGACCACATAAGAGACAAACTGTGATCACACCATCTATAGTCCTCATATAAATAGAGCAATTATGTGAAAGTTATACATTGTGTTTTGAATTACTAAACCAGTCTACTCACCAAGTGTTACTCTACGATTGTTGAAATTAAAAAAGAAAACCCTAGGTAAGATATGTACATTGCAAGGATTTGCCAGACTCCTACCTTCCAATGTTCCAAAGAAATAGATGTCCTTTCTTTGACCAATTTCTGAATAGAAGGGTCAGCCTTCATTTTAATTACCTGAGCAAGCTGCATTCTAATGAGGACATCAGCAGTGCCTGCATCCCTTTAGAAGAGGACAGGCATCAGAAAGCATCTTGCCAAAAATGAAATTCCTGTTGCAGGGGCTGCCTTAAATTTGATTTGTCTTGTGCAGACTTCTGGGTTACGCAGTGAGCCAATCATACAAGTAGGAAATGTTCTTTCTGTGAGCATTTTGTATACAAACAGTGTACAGATGCTTCTAGGTTTCCATATTAGAAGTGGTTGTAAACCCTTACATATGCCCAGTGAAGTGACTGGCCTCAGGTGATACACAGGAAAAAGTCCACCTACATAAGTTGTACCTGTCTGCCTATAGTCCTCTCTTCTCTACAGCCGTTCAAAGTACTGAATTTATAAGCTCATCTGAGAGTTCAGAAAAAAAGGGGACTGGGAGCTGAAATTACATTCTGCAGAGCTCAGTGAGGAGAGTTCTGAGAGCTGATTGGAGGGAAGAGACACACCACTCTCCACACAGCTCACAGGAGCAGATCTGAGGCTGTCAATCTGCTGGAGGTCCCCCTCCCACTTTCACCATTTTTCTCTTGGTGTCAGGAAAACTTGTCAGAATTGATTCATGCAGATGGCAGAGGAACAAGGCAGCCAACAGAAATGTCATTTAGTGCTCTTAACCACTTGCCTACCAGGCACTTTTACCCCCTGCCTGCCCAGGCCAATTTTCAGCTTTCAGTGTTTTTGCACTTTGAATGACAATTGCGCGGTAATGCAACATTGTACCCATGTGAAATTTTTATAATCACCACTGGGTGTTTTACTTTTTGCACTATAAATGAAAAAAGAGCCAATCAGTGCAGCCTCATCAACGCACAAAATTTTTTAATAGAGACAGAAAACTTTTTTTTTATCAAAATGATTGGCTGCAGCTAATCACATGGTACAGACCGGGCCAATCACAGCCCATCTGTGTTATGTGATTACTGTGACCAATCACAGCTAGTGACAATCATTTTGCAATTGGCTGAGCAGGAACTGTTTAAAGGAGAAGTATAGCCAAAGCTTTTTTTGCTGTACTTCTGTGGATCATGGGAGTCCAGTTTGTTCTGCACTCTTATGACCTGTTTTCAGCTGACAGCGTACTGAAGTCCGAGGTTGGCTGACGTCACTCAGCCGGTCCAGGCTGGGAGAAGATCCCGACTTAAAAGTCTGGATCCATCCCAGAATCTGGAGCGGCACATGGCTCATCCTCTCAGTGAATCACTGAAAGCCTGAGCCAGCTGCTCCCTCCCCCTCCACAGCCCAGTGCTCCAGTGAGCATTGGGGGGGTGTGCTGAGCAGACAGCGGTGACTGACAGTCCCGCTATCTGCTCAGAGCGGCTGTGAGAACTCAGAGGTCATGTGATCACTGAGTTCTCATCCTTAAAGCCGGCGGGGGACAGATGCAGCATTGGACCAATGCTGCATCCACCTAGATAAGTATAAATGGGGAAAAAAAGCCCTAATTCTCTTTTTAAGTTCAGCTTCCTCGACTCTCTCTGTGCTGCTCCCCTAGCTAAAACGAATACGAACATGCCTAGAAAACTTAGGAAAACATAAAGTTAAAATACATTCTTTAGAGAGAATTCACTAATCTACAGTCCAATAAAATATAAACTTTTCTAGAATTGTCAATAGCAACCACGTTGTAATACAGTCTATGGATATGTTTAATGTGCAAGAAAAGCCTTATACCTAAATACTCCCTCGCAATCATTAATGTAAGTGTTATGGTCCAAAAGTTCTCCGTGCAGCCAGCTTCCTTCTCTCTCAGCCAGTGTTGAGTTAAAGTCTGCACAGCTGCATATGTGGACCAGACCATCTGCCATCCCTCCTAAGTGATTCATTTTTATTATTTATGATAGCGAGAGCCTGTGATGTCTGGTTGTGGCAGGGCTGGGTTTGTATGTGCATGATCGAACAGTCACAAACAACGGTACCAGCCACTTTCAGCTACACAGGGCAACCGTTGTCGGTGAAAGCCAGAAGGGTTGTGGAATGTCTACATTAGACTGTTGTTTCTAATCAAACATAGCAATCCAACTACAACTAAATGAAAACATTTTTTTTTTTTTTTTTTGGATAGAGTGGAGATGGATTTGAACACCTGTCAGGTTTTTATTGCTGTCTGTGCCCTCGTTTGGGAGATTCGCCCTCTCTGTTTGTCCTGTTTACCGTTATCTCTGAAAGTGGAAGTAAAAGAAAATCCCAAATTTTGAGTTGTCTCCCAGAAAAGTAAGAGAGGGGAAATCTTCCAATGGGGACACTAGTTCTGGTGACATGGGGGTCCTCAAGGGATTCCCTTAATTTACAGGGATTTCCTCTCACTTTCTGTTTTGGATATTGGACATAAAGTGAAAGTTAATCTCCCCAATGGGACACAGATGGCAAAAAATAAACGGGTCATAACCCTTCCTTACTCAATCCAAAATGAAAAAAAAAGTTTTTTGCCTATAGCTTTAGTTTAATATACAAGTTTACTGTATTCTTCATGTAAAGAAAGGGTAGATTTTTATTTTAATTGGAATTCCACTTTAACGTCTGCTCATTGGAATACAGGCAGTGTTGTCTGCATGACGGCACAGTAAACTTGAAGTTTGAGCTGGCCAGGTAAGCTAGGGTCGCTGAAAAATGCTACTTGCCATGATTTGTGGGATCAAAATAGTGGGAATGGATATTTTTTTTTATAAACTATTAAAACCCAACTCTGGGTTTGGGGATTGGGGATGATTGGGTAACTATTACAACTAGAGCTGTTTTTTTTTTTTTTTTTTTTTTTTTTTTTAAAAACTACTGCAAGGTAATTATTTTCTTCTTTTCTTTTTATTCCCCAAACTGGAATTTGGGCTTTTAAAGTAAATACAGGACCAATAAGTGACTTGTGTAAGAAAATCGAGAAATGTGTTTATTTATTACAGGTACTTATATAGTGCCGTAAATTTTTGCTGTTTTTCACACACACACCTCAAGGGGCGTACAATCTTAGGTCCCTAACTTACATTCATATATACACATACTAGGGCCAATTTAGACAGGATCCAATTAACCTACCAGCATGTCTTTGGAGTGTGGGAAGAAACTGGAGTAACCAGAGGAAACCCACACAGGTTCAGGGAGAACATGCAAACTCCAGGCAGGTAGTTCCTTGGTTGGGATAAGGAATATTACTATGCTTTCTTTGATGGCAGGTTCACTTTAAATTTCACAAAGATGATTTTTTTTTTTCTTTAACACACCACTGTTTGGGCTTTGTTACAAACTACATTGAGTCATTGGAATTTGAGGTTACATTTTTCAATCAGTTATTCTTGTATTTTCTCTGTAGTATACCTTTAAGTCGGTACTTATACATTTTTTTTTCTTGCTTACTCTCTTCCAGCTAATAACTGTGAGCCACTGTGTGAGTTCATGAAGTTGGCCTTCCCTACAATAGACTGGTGCAGAGAGCTGCTATTTCCATCAATACCAGTGTTTCAGGCTTCAGGGTTCTTGTGTGCTTCTGTTTTTCCCCTGCTTAGGCAGAAAGCATGCTGTGAGGGTCTTCTATTGCGGGTTTGCTGAAAGATTAGACAAATTATTACTATGTAATGCAAGTAAAACAAAGCTTAGCAATGTTTATTTTCATATATATATATTTATATTCAAATCAATATGAAGATATTCTTTGGATATCTGTGAAAGCCTGTCGGTATGACGGAATGCAGCTTATGCACATATGAGGATTGGAGCAACTACACCTTGTATGGACAAGCAAAGGAATATGTCTCAAAATGAGAACAGATGTCCGTAGATAGTATCTCCATCTTCCTGAAGACTGCAGTTTCAGCTTGAGAGAAGCTAAGTGACCACTTGAACTTTAGTGCCTTCACTTTACAGCTTGTGGCAGCCTTACAGCAGATGCGGGCAAAGAGATCCTGTTCTATGCTTTGCAGAATATATTAGTTATTCCTCAAGGTGAAAGGTCAAGATATTTGTTTTAACTATGCATTTTATTAATTTTTTTTTTTAATTTCCTTTTGTTTTGCCAAGCCATATTGAATTGTGTTAGTACATAGAGGCATTAGAAACTAACAGTACAAAACCAAGTTTTACATGTGTGTTTATTTTGTATTGTATTGCCTTACAGTTTTTAAAGAACGTTAAGTTAACGGACATATAAAATATGTATGCACTGTGTGAACTTGTAAATTATTGTTAGAACACTTTTTTTATTGGATATGGCTTTGTTCTTTTTAGTGCCTTATTTCAGTCGTTTTTACTGCCATGTTTAAAGGATCTGGGCACAAAATGTAGTTTCCTGAAAGTGAAACCATTATCATATGCAGGTTTTAGCTGCCTCCAAGTTACATTTCCACTAGAAGAGGGAGATCGTGAGACCGATTTTAAGGAGAATCCAGAGAAAGGGATTGAGTAGCCCTAACAATGGGATTTCATGCTTGTATAATCCACATGATCACCAGTGGTTTGTAAGAAATTCCCATATTGCATCATGCTTGTTTGCATAAGGGCTGCATGGATCTATTCAGCCACAGCACAGAAGAATCTCCGCTAGAGATGCTCCAACTGTAACACCATCTTGCAGGTCACATGGCCTAAATACATTATTGGCTGGCTTGGAGTGTCA